CTGTACATAGTGAATCGAGATCATTTTTTTGCAGATGGTACTTAGGAAGGTATACTATGATGCCTGAGTGAAATAACAGGGAATGATGAAGAAGGTAGCCCTTGGCCGGTCATATTGTCAAGTTTTTACAGAACCCCCCCAATGATAGTATACGGTGATGGAAACGCGCACTTGCTCGATTACTACCTTCCTAATATAGTACGCGGCGAAATCCCTGTGGGTGCGTTGCATGCGCTGTTCGACTTATACTCAGGCTAATTGATTACTTTGATAGGCTCATCACTTTGCTCTGTTAATATCCTCCTTCAACGTGTACCCACTTGCATTCCGACGCAAGACTCGGACTAGCAGATTCCAAGCAGACTCAGGCTGCCAGAATGGCTGAACTCCTCGATGAAGTGTTAACCAAAGTCAAGCCTAAACACGATAGTCGCGTAATCACGGTGGGTGTCCGAGCCACCGAATCATGACTTATTGCAGGAGGTTGGATGCTCGTTGAAGCTTCGCCAGTGCTCATTAACCGATCGCTGGACCGATGAGGAAGTGCGGCAGCAGTTTAAAGTTGCGCCTCGTTGCCCTGGTGGTGATGGCGTAGAAATGCTCAGCGACGACACCGTAGTCAAGTATCACCCCACAATGGAGGTGGCGTCTCAGGAAGCCCGCGCGCTGCAATTTGTTTGGGCCCATACATCCATCCCGGTTCCTCAAGTGCGCCGTGTGGTGGGTACACCTCGCGGGGCGCTGCTTCTTATGGAGTATATTAAGGGCCAAACACTTGATCGTCTGTGGCCCTCGCTATCATCCTGTCAGAGGTTCATTGTCTCATGGACACTACGCGGCTACATCCAACAACTCCGTGCAGCTTCCACAGCTTACCCCCGCCGCCACATTCCGGGGCCTATGAGTGACACGCCACAAGTGTGTGAGGGCTCCTTCTGGATATTTGATTGTGAACGGCCGAAGGGACCGTTCACTACATGGGCAGAATTCTGCGAAGAATTAAATGAAGAGGGTCCAGAGAGTCTCAAAGGACGTCGCTTCGACACCTCGGAAGAGTTGTTCTTGACGCACTTCGACCTGAGCGCACGTAACGTGATCATGGGCGAAGACGGAAGGATATGGCTCATAGATTTCGGACGCTCGGGATTTTATCCTGTGTGGTTCGAATACATCAGTATGATGAGCGCTGCCGAGGGCGATGAAGCACCCACAAGTTGGTGGAAGCACATCCCATTGGTCACTGGGTGCTACGCTAGAGAGCAGAACATGCTGGGATGGCAGGCATTCAATGGACTTAAGTATAAAGATCGCAAAGAGTGGCGGGAGAGACGTTGACTTGGGAGCACATAGCCTGTCCGTAGGCGGGTATAGCACGCGTTAGAGGGCTTACTCGGACACATCGGCATGTACACAGTCATCATAGGAATGTTTGAACTTTGCCCACGATATCAGGGCAAAGAGACGCATACATAGACCCTCGAAAGGACAGAAGTCACTGCCTCAAAGTAAAGCAAATTCAGGACCATGTGCACATAATACTGTAGAGCGTAGTTCATTCCGATAGATAGAATACTTCGTAAACTGATGCAATTCACACTGCCGCAACTCGCGACGCAAATGCGCAGGGACGAGTACTGGATAGTCGACGCTAATACTGTGGCAAACGATTCGCGGCGGTCGTTGCCGCGAATGTGGCAACCAGTCCTGTATAGTTTCTCGACGAAAGTTCGGAGTGGCGGGGATTATGTAATTGCTCACGCTCGCCAGTAGTCAGCTTATCGCTCGCCTCCCACCGACCTCGCTCCTCAAGAACAAGGTGAGATAATGCTCGTGCGTCGTCCGGGTCGTTTCTGACAGCCCCAATCCTATCACAGACGCCCGACCATGGTCAACCTTCGCTCGCAAAAGCGGCTCGCCGCCTCCGTCGCAGGCGTCGGCAAGCGCAAAATCTGGCTGGACCCCGCCGAGCAGGCTGAAATCGGAAACGCCAACTCCCGCACGCACGTCAAGAAGTTGATCAAGGATGGTCGGGTCATCATCAAGCCTACCGTTGTCCACTCGCGGGCACGTACCCGTGCTCTGTTGGCGGCGAAGCGAAAGGGTCGTCATATGGGCCCCGGTAAGAGGAAGGGTACGGCGGAGGCCCGGATGCCGACCAAGGTTCTGTGGATGCGGAGGCAGCGGGTGTTGCGTCGGTTGTTAAGAAAGTACAGGGAGGCGGGCAAGATCGACAAGCATCTGTGAGTGCCAAACCTCTCCGGTCTATCATGTGATGAGATTTATCGGCCCCATTGCTTCGCAAAGGTACCACTCGCTCTACCAGAAGTCCAAGGGTAACGTCTTCAAGAACAAGCGTGTATTGATGGAGTACATCCACAAGGCCAAGGCCGAGAAGACCCGTACCAAGGTCCTTACCGACCAGATGGAGGCCCGCCGCACCAAGAACAAGGTATGTCTTTGCCACCGAGCGGACCCCCCCCCCCCAATGCTGAGATATTCGCAGGCTGCCCGGGAGCGTCGCGCTGCCCGTACGCTCGAGAAGAGACAGGCTATTTTAGCTGTGGAGCACGAGGCACCCGTCCAGGAGTAAATATGCCCCTGCCTGCCCTTCCTTCCCTGTCATCGTTCGTATCCTACGTTATGCATGCATGCCTGCTACACAGTCCCACGATCATATGCGCATATGTTTCGCTTTGCTCTTCCAAAGTGCTGCAATAAGATATTCGGCACACCCTTGTATTTTAATTGGATGAGTTGATATGCACGCCTATGGGCTGCAGCGAATACACGGTTGTTGTACCGTCCGGGCGTTATGGACTCCTAGGCTACTGCGGTCTAGAAGTAACGTCAAGGAGACTGGAGGTGGAACGGTTAACGTACAAGGGGTATAACAAGGCGCAGCATATTCTACAGCAGTACATGACTCATGTCCATCATCATCTTCTTAACCCCCCTGTCTCTCGCCACGACCTCTACCATCTCACGCGAAACTAATACAATCTGCTCCCCGTCGTCCTCTCCCGCGGTCTGCCGTCGAAGCAACAGCCCGCACTCGTTCAGCGCGAAGGCAGCGTCCTCCACACGCAGATTCGTAGCCTGGGCGATGTCAGCGAGGGTGCACCTCACGGTGACATGGCTCGTGGCGCTGCCGTCTGGGTTGAGCTTCGTCTCTACCGTGCGTAGGGTCTTAAATATCGCGTCTAACATGCGATGTATCCGTGAGAGTAAGGAAAACGAATGCAATGAACGGACTGACCGTTCTCGACTATCGCAGGTGCCACGGCCAAGCCCGGGTCTGACGACCCGAACTCGCCATCCCAGCCTTTCATTTTCTTCTTCCTGATCCGCGGGACGGCGTCGTCGGAATCCGTCGACGCCGACCGCAGCCGCGAGAGATCGGGCATGCCGCTTGAACGTACTCGGGGGAGCTCCGGGGGCAGCACGGACAGCAGACGTCTATGCCTGGTGTGAGCTTCGGAAACCAGCAAGTACACGGAAGACGAACGCACCGGAAGAAGCGGATTAGGACAGAAACCCAGTATGTTAGGTAGCTGCGGAGGCCGAGGTCTGAGAGCGGTCGCTCGGGCGTCCCTACTTTGCCTGCGCGTCGAGAGAGCTCGTAGCCTGGAGCGAGGTTAGGAGGCAGCAAAAGAGCTGATTCCTTGACTCACTAAATTCGATTAAGAGCATGCCGTAGCCTTTCCTCTGATAAGGTGGGAGCACGACGATACATGCGAGGTTGTAGTCATCATATGATACCTTCTCCTGGACACGGAATTAAGTGACAAAGCGGCTCGATGGATGCGTGGCGCGCACTTTCGAGAAGAAACCAAGAACATGGTCTCGTTGTGAATCGGCATCCGTGAGGACATAAAACATGACTGTCGGGGGATGAGCTATGTGGCGGAGTCATCGACTCGAGGACAGACATACAATTTTCCATGTCAAAATAGAGTGTCTTGATGTCGATGAACAGTTTGCCAAATAACGAGAGATTTTGGCAGTAAAGCTGTAGGGGATCAGACGGTGCTCGCTAACCACGCTAGATCTCATACCTTTTCTTTCGCTCCATCAACTTCCCAGATGATATGCGCGCCCCTCTGGTACACTTTCCTGCCAGGGGGGCTCTTCCAGCTGCACTTTTTCTGATGGCCCCGCTCGAGGTTATTAAGCATTCCTCGTTAAAGCAGATTTAGACTCACGGTATGTAACTCCCAAGACGATCCCTCCGTCATGTACTTGAAGCACCGATCACACACCCATAGCGTCGATTTCTCTCCCGATGTATGAGCACGCCCCAGGCCGCCAGCTAGGATGTCGGACGTACGCCCATGGGATCGAACCGTGGTGCGCCGGACGCCTGGGATGCGCTGGTCTTGACTGGCAGCCAACGCTAGTTCCTCCGCCTCGGAGCCTTCGACCAAGGGATAAGGAGAGAAATACCTGATCAAAGGTAAGAGATGAGTGAATGGGACCTATCTGTGTATTGCAAACAAACCAAGTCTTTATCTTCCAGTGGCCGAAGATAACGTGCTCGAAGTTGCGTTTCGCGGTGATCTGCCTGTGATGTTGGATGTCGTACTCTTCCTCGGTCATAGCAGCCTCCCCGTTGACGTCTTCCTTATCAGCAGAGGTAGAAGGACCCGCGGAGGCTTCTCTTGGCCGCGCGCCAGAGGCCTCGCCGCTCGTTGATTCCCGCTTCCTTTTTCGCGCAGACGAACCCTGCGATGCTGCCTGGTCTTGGGCGAGCGTGAGCTTCGACTCCGGAACCCACTCATCGAGCCGTTTGTCGGTGTTGAGATAGTGCACATACACCTCCCCTTCCCCTCTCTGCAGTATCTGCGCTAGTTCTGTCCTTCATAAAGATATAAGCTCCGGTCACGTTCACGAGGATGCGAAGACGTACGACGTTGGCCGTCCTTGGAAACGTAGTACAACCGCGGTTCAGGAGAGTCAGGTTTGCGGGTCCCAGGTTTCCCTTTAGGCATGGTTGGGAGGTGATCGCTGCAGGGAAGCTTGCTAGGTTTATCCAAAGTTCATTCAGCCATGAGCTCAGAGCTGCTACCTTTCATGAAGGCGCGTGAGTCGTGTCATGCGCACGTGACCGTTACAGCGTGATGATTTAGACTTTGTGGCACGGGGAGCGAGTGCTCTCCTCGCGAAACCATAGTATTCACAACTGAATCCATTCGCTGCGTTACAGCGTGTCACCAACATGGACTATACTCTGCCAGTCTCCAGTTTTGATTCTCTTCTCCTCAAGCTCGTCAACGTCTTGGAATTAAGTCAGCGGCCAGAAGGAACCGCTACACACCAAGCCAGGCAGGCTTTGTTACAGGCCGTCCGTGTCTCTTAGGCTTAGTGAGCTCGGTCGCATGTCTGACACCCGAGTGTAGACAAACGATTTCAAGGATAGTCTAGCTCGCGCAAGGGAGTTGGCCGATGGCCTCCCGGGTGGCGAATTGCTGATACAGGAGCAAGACGAGCTTATTGACATGTTGCAATCCCTGAAGGAACAAAAGCGGTGTGTGTTGCTGCATGATGTCCACAGAACACCTCACCTTACCTATGCGAAGTCAACAACTTGCCGCGTTTTCACAGAAGGTGTTCGTCACTTCCAAGGCGGGCGACTCGAAGATGGATCTTGACTCAACCGCGTCCACACCCTTCCTGCGTGGCGAATCTGTTGTATAAGATACTCCGTCGCAAATGATGCTCGCTCGAGGCCCGATATTGATCAGGGTTAAATCTTGGACCAGTCCAGCGTTCCTCGGTATCGACGTCAATGTAGTCAGCCGCCGGTGTGACTATGCCTTCGAACGTCGTGTCCCGTTCAAAGGTTCCCGTCTTTCTCGTCCTTCCTGTGTTCCAGTAGCTACTTCTATCTAGGCCTTGACGGTCTTTTTTCTTCTCGAGGCCGGGCCTTCTTGTTTGATACTTCACGTTCATTTACCTGTTCCTGCCCCACATGAAGTTACTCAAGAACAAGCGTGGTCTACTGTTGGCGGTACTCTCCCATCTGTCAGCCTCCTTGACGCTTGTCTCTGGGTCAGAAGCTCCGAGTATCAAATGGACCAGCCCTGCTTCCGGTGATACATATGGCCCTGGGGACACAATCACCGGCGAATGGTCAGTTGAAGACGGCGCTCTGGCCGTCAATTCGCCTTCTTTCAAGCTTTGCACAAAGGATGGTGCGAGTGGTGGGGGTTCTGGTTCAAGTGATCAGCAAGGTTCTAGCGACGACGGCGGCAAAAATGAATCCGGTGATGAAGGAAGTGGTGATGGCTCAGGCCAAGACGCTAGCGAAGACGGTAAAGGCAGCGGAGAAGAGAGTGGTAACACCCGCGACCAGAGGCGTAGGAGCGATGACAGCAACGACGGGAGCTGTGGAGAGACCGTATGGCCCACCGTACAGCAGTCATCCGGCTCTTATTCCGTGTCACTGTGAGCTTCAATTCATTACCTTTGCAGTCTGATCAGCACCCGGAAACCTCACCCGATACTGCAGTGCGGTTCCGAACGTCACGTCCCTGTCTGGCTACTATCTCCTTATGATGGATGATTTCGGCAACAAGATGAGCTCCCCCAGTTTCTCCCTAAGTCGTGAGTTCAAGCTCGGTGATCGAGACATTATAGCTCATCGATTGCTGTAACGTCTAGCAACGTCCCCAAGCTCGTCATCATCCGCTCCTAGCTCCACTATTTCTTCGCTTCCCGTGTCCTCGTCCAAATCTTCGCACACTGAGGCTTTAGACTCTCCCTCTGCTACGTCGGATGTTGTTTCGAATTCGTACCCTGATCTCGCAGCGGCTCACGCTCCGCCGCCAGTTGCTGCCTTCGCAATTCCTCTTTCTATAGTCGGCGCGATCATTGTCGCGGCCGTTGTCCTCGGGATTCTCCACTGGCGCAAACTGAAACAAGAGCGACTGCGCGACGCGGAGAATCTCAAGTCCATATCCGACCGAGACTACATGTCCAGGCGCTCCAGCTTGCTCAGCAGCACAAGCCGCAAGTCCGACGAGAAGATGGATCGTTGGGGTCCAGGGTACATGGGGAGCTTCGCCCGGGAAGAGCAATACCCGAGTACGACGTACGCGGAGCCTGTCCAGCCTATGCGAGGTCCTTCTCCTGCGCATTGGGATCCTTGTCCGCCGCAGTATACGTGGAGCGCGAGGAGAGAGCCCGAGCGGAGGTATATCACGCGACAAGCGTTCCCTGAAGACCATTATACGGCACCGAGTTACAGCCATTCTCTCCGCGGGAGTTTCCCGCCTAGCAGAAGTGTACCAGCGAGCACATTCCGCTCACCCCGCGTTGGCCCTGGTCCGTCCGTACTGCACCACATGCCCCGTCCTCCGGATCCCCCCCAGCAGGATTGTCACCGCAACGCCGCGGTGAACCATTCTGTGATATCGAATTACCTCCAGCCGTCGCCGATCCCTTGTTCGCTCTGGCCGTCTAGTCCCCCTTCTGGGTCCCCGTCTGCGTATGATCGTGGTGCGATGCATTTTGTCCCTGACCCTGTCCCCGAGCCTGAGAAGTTGTTCGTGCGGAGGAGTGCTCCAGGAGTGGAAGTAGAGCATCCGATGGCGCATGGAGATGTGTATGATAGGGTGACCAGATCGTTGTACCCGAGATAGTTGCGGTAATATTATTTCAAAGAGAAGTCATTACATTTGTCCTTTGAACAGTTCATGAATACATGTATTTGTGCAGTCACGACTCACAGCTAGAGGATTGTGGCGGCCCGCAAAGTGCCGTGGCTAAGTGTGGCCAGTCATGGTCGGAGAAGCTCATGCATTTAGACGACCGCCAGACGCTGACTGTCTCCCTCGAAGACCACCTGGTCGAGTCTCTGCAACCTTTGTGTTCTTTTCTTCCCAACGATTTATCCGAAGAGCTTATAGCATGTTTGGACTCTGCTAAGTCGAAGCGACGAGAACGTGCTGCGCCGACAATCCCATACGACTTGCTTTCCTCCATCTCAAAATGGTCTCGAACGGAAGGGGGCCGTGCAGCTCTACAGGCCCATGATCCTCCCCTAGACGTACATGCATACGATATGATTGCGCTGCTCGCTGGCACGCGCACGGCTCCTGACCGCAAGTTCCCCACATTCGTCCCTGAGAGCGAGGACAGGGAGGAGGAGCGGAAGCGGGCTATCAATGACAGGAAGGCTATAACGACCTTGCTCAACGCCGCACTTAGCGTCGCAGGCGCCGGCTTTGCGGCCTGGTACGCTGCCGGCCAGGTGCGATGGCGGGACGAATGGGTGAGCAGCTGTCATCATCATCTGTCACTCAGATGGCGGTAGCTGACTCGACCCAGCGCGCTCTACTAGGCCTAGCCGTTGCTGCAATCGTGGCCATCGCTGAAGGTGTACTGTATGTCATCTGGGACTCCCGAAAGTCTAGCAAGCGCACGAGACGGAGGCTACGCATCGCGAGTGCCGCCACACGGGAGAAGAAAAATGAAGATGAGCCACTCGCCACCGCCGAAGCTCAGAACGAAGACCTTCCCATGGACAACAGCGTACGCAAGCGTCAACCTTTTGAAGCAGCTCGCTTGGATACGGACTGCTGATATATTATGCGTGCTATGTCGTCCTCTACAAGCGTCTTTGCTGGATGATTGGGGCCACTAGAAGCGGTTCCTATTGTTCACTGGAAACGTTACGCTTTGACCAGTCTTGCCACGCCATACGCATGCCATTCTGCACGAGTGGTCGATTTTGACTCTGCGCCACGACTACTTTTTATTATAACATCTGCTTAACTAGGATGCACCGTGCACGAGCTTTGCGATATCGCTTTGATCCGACACTTAGGCAGGTCGACGTCGATGCTCTGCGTACAGGGACACGAGACGAAGAAATGCATAAAGCGATCAGTCATAAGAGCGTGCGCTTGTTAGCAGCCACAATAAGCCGTGTTTGTGGCAACCTTTCCCAGAGAGGGAAGGTACAAATCACAATTGCAGCAACCACAGTACAAAGCGCGCGCCACATGCCACACAGGTAGAATTATAAGAACACGTCGCAGGACGCCCTCGTTTCGCCACATATCCTTTGTTCCCTCCCGCTCTACTCTACCACAACACTGCCTCGCCCCGCCCCGAGTATCGATAGTATAAGATGCCCCCGAGGAGTCGAGATGCCTCTGGCCGCTTTTCGCGTGCGCCGGCGTATATGTCGGGTAACCCGAGGCAGGCAGGCCGCGCTATATGGCTTGAGAATAAAGCCTCCTCTAGTAAAGAGCGAGAGGATGAGGAGATGGCGTCTGAGGCGTCAGGCACCACAGGCAGTGGCAACGAGAGCGAAGACGACGAAGAGATGGACTCCAGCGGCGAAGAGGATCCTGGCAGTGAGATGGACGAGGACGAGCCGACAGATGATTCGCACGAATCGGACTTGACTTTGGTTGAGACAGATGCGGAAATGGCTTCAGACGAATCAAGTGAATCAGGTAGTAGCGACGAAGAGATCAACTCCAGTCAGGAATGGCCGCGGTCGGAGCCTCGAGATATAGACGAGTCTTGGCCGTATCATTTCGAGGTGGGTTCCTTTCTATGCTGCCAGGTCGACAAAGAAGTTGACGAGTCCGCCGACAGGTGAATGACAAGGTGTGGGTACGCAGTAACAGTGGTGAATGGTACTATGGCTTTGTTCGCAGCAAAAGGCCAAGAACAATGGTGTCCAAGCAGGCAAGTGTCGCTTGTGAGATTATCAGTGAATCCGAGCTGACGACCGTTATAGTACGGATCCATATCGCATTACTGGGCGCTATATTACCCAGGATGCAGGGCCAAGAGGGAGTGTTCGCCGCAACATGGCAATATCAAGCCAGATACGCCGCATATCAGACGATTGCTGGAAGCTGCTGGGGTGGACGTTCCCGCCCGCCTGAGTCTGGTGTATGGTAAAACGCCAAAATGAACGCCTTTCACCCTGAGAAGCCTGAGTATCGCGCCGTCGTTCCAAGGACCTTCTTGACATAGAGTTGCATGTATCATGTATGGACATTTGTATATCCTTCTTTCGTAATATTCCATGATCGTTTGGTGCCTCGAGGAAAGCATGAGACTTGGTGTGCGTTCGTAGTCCAGTTATTTGCAGACCACGCTTTGGTCCAGTAGGACGCCCAAGATGCAACAGCGACAAGAGATGATGGCCCAGCACATCGTCAGCGTCGTCCAAGGGAGGTTGAAGGTGATGGGGTGGAACGAAGGAAGAGGAGGCGGCTCTTCCCGGGCCTGCGCTCTTGCCCAGTTGGGTCTGTAATTACGCCAACTGCTCTCTGTCCCTCTCGCTGGCCGCAAATACCCCAGCGTCGTCGGCGAAAGGCTCGCCATGGCTACGACGCCCATCATGGAGGAGGGCAAGCTGCTCAGCGAAGCCCTCAATACCGTTAAAATCCAGGTTCAGCAGATGAAGCGGTATCTGGTGCGTCATTCCTGCAAAGCGCAGCGCTTCTTGCGTTCAGGAGAGTTGACATATCCTGCATCCGTTTTGTAGGAACTGGACCAGCTCATGGATGGTTTGAAAGCGGCCAGCTTGATGCTGGCTGAGCTCCGGACGTCGTCTCTGTCCCCGAAGCAGTACTACGAACTATGTGAGACAGACGCGTCTGCTCCTGGCCGTGTATTGACAGGATGAACAGACATGGCCGTGTTCGACGCCCTTCGCTACCTGTCTAACTATCTGTACGACGCCCATATGCAATCGCGGCACCACCTCGCCGACCTGTACGAACTTGTACAATATGCCGGGAATATCGTCCCCAGACTCTACCTCATGATAACTGTCGGCTCGGTGTACATGTCGGTTCCTGATGCGCCAGTGAAAGAGATCATGAAGGATATGATGGAAATGTCGAGGGGTGTGTTACACCCGATAAGAGGTCTGTTCTTGCGCCATTACCTTAGTGGGCAGACGAGGAGCCATCTTCCAGTTGGGAATGATGACGGGTATGTGCTCGTCTTTCATCCTGGGGATGACTTACTTGACTGTGGCGCAGACCCGGCGGGAACCTGGCAGACTCTATCGACTTCGTCCTCACTAACTTCATGGAGATGAACAAGCTATGGGTACGGCTTCAGCACCAAGGACATTCCCGCGACCGCGAGAAGCGCGAAATGGAGAGGAAGGAACTGCGTATCTTGGTTGGCACAAATCTCGTCCGCCTAAGTCAGCTCGACGGAGTGGACCTGGAAATGTATCAGAAGACCATCCTCCCGAGCATACTTGAGCAGATCGTCGTGTGCAAGGACGTCATCGCACAGGAGTATTTGATGGAAGTAGTGATTCAGGTGTGCCATCATTGTCATATACGGCCTATTCCTTGTTGTTTGATAAGTTCCAGGTGTTCACAGACGAGTTCCACCTCTATACGCTCGGTCCATTCCTATCTGCTACGGCCCAGCTACACCCGAAAGTGAACATCAAGCAGATAGTCATTGCATTAATTGACCGCCTCGCGGCGTATGCGGCTCGTGAAGCAGAGAACGAGGATCCCGAAGAGACCAAGAGGCAGGAGGAGGCTGCCGCTAAACGACTGGCCGAGAAGGTGAAGTCGCAGAGGACGAAAGTGCGGGAGAACGGGAACGGCGTAACATCGCCTACAGTCGCGGGCGCGGATGCCTGGGGCTCCCCGCCTGCGAGCCCAACCAATGCCTTGCCGGAGAAGGAATTCGGTAGCATGAGCCTCGATGGCAGTGCGACCGAGGCCAATGGGGAGAAGGTGGATAAGGGCAAAGAGAAGGCTGCTGATGGAGGAGAACCAGTTGTTCGGAAGTTCAGAGGTATTCCGGAGAATGTGAAGCTGTTCGAGGTGTTTTGGAAACAAGTGGTGGACCTGATTAAGGTGCGTCATCTCCACCTGAGTTGCAGGCAAATACTCAAGCTGGTTCGGTAGGCTCGGCCAGACTTGTCAATACAGGATATCACGGCGCTCCTGGTTTCGTTGACCAACCTTTCCGTTAGCTGTTATCCTGACAGGTTAGAATATGTCGACCAAGTTCTTGGATATGCGCAAGAGAAGATCAAGGAGTTCGCAGACAGGTAACTGCTTATTCCTCGTCCACGTCGTATCCCATCTAACTCAGCCTCCCCCAGTCCGGATCTCCATGCACCTCAAACAATCACCAACCTCGCTGCCCTCCTAATAGCACCCATTAACTCATACCAATCCGTCCTTACCCTCCTTGCGCTCCCCAGATATACCCCTCTCCTCTCACTGCAATCCTTCTCCACGCGCCGCTCCATTGCGCATTCTATCATTTCATCCGTCCTGAAGAACGAGACGATTATCGAGACGCCGGAAGACGTCGACGGTGTGCTAGAGCTCTGCCATGTACTAATACGAGACCAGTCGGATATGGGGCCGGGCGGACCGAATGCGGTACCGCCCTCGGCGAAGGATGGCAGGAGGCTCGGATCGTACTATCTGGAGAGGGAGGAGATGGCGGAAGAGCAGGGGTGGGTGGCGAGGATGGTGCACTTATTCCGCGCAGAGTCGTTGGATGTGCAGTTTGAGGTACGTGCGTCGTTAAACTGTGGTTACCTTTGGGTCTTCACAATCATGTAGCTTCTGCAAACGGCACGGAGACATTTCGAGCTCGGCGGTGAGCGGATGCGGTACACATACCCGGCCCTTATTACCGCTACAATCAAGTTGTGCCGACGGTACAAGAATCGGGAGGATGTGGTATGTCATGGCATCTGTTGAGCCCGCTGGAGTTAACGCAATGGGCTAGGAGGAGGACTGGAAGACCAAGGTCGAAACCATCCTCAAGTTCGCGCGGCAACTAGCGGCTATCCTTGCGACGCAAGTCGAAGCCCCCGCTATTGCCCTCCGGCTCTACCTCCTCGCCGCACAAATATCGGACGAGTGCGGATTCGAAGACCTCACGTACGACCTGTACGTGCAAGCGTTCACGGTGTACGAGGAGAGCATCTCGGAAAGCCGCGCGCAGCTGCAGGCGATCACGCTGATCATCGGCACACTGCAGGGCGCCCGCGTGTTCGGCGTGGACAACTACGATACGCTGATCACAAAGGCGGCGCTGCACGGTGCAAAGCTGCTGAAGAAGTCGCACCAGGCGACAGCGGTGAATTTGGCGAGCCATTTGTGGTGGCAGGAGCCGGGGCCCGATGAGGAGCCCGCGAAAGAGGAGGCGCCCAAAGCGAATGGAGAGGGGAAGGAGGACGGGGTGGCAGGTGCTGATACGACGAGAGCGGTAGGTGCATGTCTCTTTTATTTTCTACCCAATCTGATTGGGGATGCTTCTGTAGTATCCTCATCAGGATAGCAAACGGGTACTGGAGTGCCTGCAGAAGGCACTGCGGATTGCCAACTCTGCTATCGAGGAGATCGTCACAGTACAGCTGTACTGCGACACCCTGGATCAGTATCTGTTCTACCTAGACCGGGGTGCTCCAGCGGTGCGTCTTATCTATTTCACTAATATCTGGTCATCTCTGATCTTATCATGCAAATCATCCCAGATCACGCCGAAATTCGTGAACAGTCTCGTCGAGTTGATCACCTCCAGCATCGACAACATCGCATCGCCCGATGTACACCCGTCGCAGCGCGCGCCGCCGGGCCTCCTCGAGGGCGTGCAGACGCCCGAGATGATCTCGCGGCACTTCCGGAACACGCTGTACTACATACAGACGAAAAAGAACGCCGCGGCGGGGACAAGGTGGGACGACGTGGAGGTCGTGGGGGCGCTGTTGAAGATGGGGATTACGCAGCGATGAGCCAGGTGTTGCCTTTATTATACTAGCTTGCTTTGTGTGTATACTTTTCTTATTACATATGGATGACATGACATGAGGGTGAGGTCCGGTGAGAGAGGAGAGTAGGAAAGGAGTCACGAGGGCGGGGCGTAGGCCTCGTTGAGGGCTTGGATGAGCGGCGGGAGATTTGCTGCTGGGACAAGCATCATCCGCCCGCCTGTGTCGAGCCCGAAAGACTCCTTGTCCCGGGGCTGGGCGTTCGAGAAGGCGAAGTCGAGGGTATGCGAAGCGAACTTTCGGTTACGACGATTAGCAAAGGGGTGTGGTGTTTACGGAGTAATAAGAAGCGGTACCTTTTGGATGTACTCGTCTTCGGGGTGGAAGGAGTAGACGCCCCCGTCTGAGCGCATGGGGTCAATAGCGTTGCGCTGCCGCTTGGAGGAACGCGGGGCGGTGGCGATGAGCTCGGCCTCTTCCTCCGGGGAGAGCTTGTACGTCCGCGAGAGGAAGAGGAGGTGGTCGAAGCGGTAGGGTTCGTTCTAGAAATACATAGAGATCAGAGGTCAAGTGGGTGGGCAGCACAGGAAGCACAAGACGCACGTCGTCGATGGCCCACTTGATCTCGTCGGCGAGCATGCGGTACATGGGCGGGACGACCTGGACGGGCATGTTGATGAGGCGCTCGGAGATGACAAGCCCGACGTGCGTCGAGCCCGTGATGCCCGCGGAGCCGATGAGGGACTGGAGGGTTGAGTGGAGGGGGACGTTGGACGCGGACTTGAGGAGGAGGTACGCGATGAGCGATTTTATCGATGGGTGGTTCTGGTGCGCACAGTAGGTGCCAGGACGAGTGAGACTACGCAGAGGGACGCACCTTGTGTACGTGCATGTTGAGCACGGTGAGCACCGCGTAGGGGTCGCTCTCGATGCCATCCGTCTTGACGGTGGTGCCGACGAGCGGCTGCGCGAGGATGAGCTCGGCTAGGGCCTCGAGGTGGAAGAGCTCTGCGTCGGCGCTGAAGAGCTGGGCGAGGAGGCGCTTGAGGGCGTGGTAGTCGACCTTGGGGTTAGGGTCGAAGAAGTCAAAGTCAACGTTGACGAGGCTCTACTGGTGCGAGGTGAGTGTGAGTGGCGTCGACGCGGTCAGCGGGCGGTGCGGGGACATACGACGTCGCTGTCGGACTCGTCGGCGGCGGCGCTTTGCTGCTGCTGCTGCTTGCGTTTGGACATGGCGGCGGGAGGCAAGGATGTTCGCACGGCCCTCCACCGGGTAATGTACTTAAAGACCACCGAACCCAGCCTCTACATCATGTATCACGCTCAACCACTGCCGCCTCAAGTCGACGTTGCCGCACTACTACACCCTGAAAATGCGGTCAGTGCATATAATGTTTGCCTGCGCTTTGAGGAGTCCGTTTCGACCAAACAAGACACGGAACGCATCATTTCTGCTCGAATCTTAGGCTACCTGCTTCTTCATCCATCTTCACACGGTTCCCTCTCGGAGATCGTGAAGGAGATTCACTCCTGCAGCGAGGATTATGACGCTCTACATAATCTGGGACAGGCCTTTTTGGACTACTTTATACGTGCATGTGAGTGCGTCACGTCTTACGCAGCGACCCTGCACTCATTTACCCCCCAGTTCGCAAATATAAAGGCAGGACCCCTTTCACCTCCGACCACCCCAGCCGCCCATCCTTTGACCAGCAGCGATTATTGCTGAAGGCCTCGATCAAGGAGGCACCAAAAAGTCATAGCACCGCCAAGGCACAAGTTGTGTGCCACGATCTATGGATTTGGTTCGACATGCTCATGCACTCGTCTTGTAGGCACTCTTACGGGACGGCTACAGATGCACTGTGACCGGAGCGTATGATTTTCTGGCGCAGGATATGCTCAATGACGAGCTTGCGGATCCCCAAGTCTGGCTCGTGGATACGGAATGCGCTCATATCGTGCCTGAGTCCACGTATCTCAACGTTAATACTGACGACTCTCAACAAGCTTCGAGCAGAGTATGATTTCCGCATAGTACTTCCCGTACAAGTTCTTCACTGACATAGCCAACTTCAGAAAGATTATGCGGCATCAGTTTTAACTGTCCTATCGCGGTTCGGCTACGACGTCGACAAATTGAACGGTCCGAAGGTTCACTCGCTCTACAACGTGATGACACTACAACACGATGTCCACAATAGGTTTGACCGGTTGCAGCTGTGGTTGGAGGAAACGGTGAGTGCTTGGAAGCGTTGGTGAACCACTTCGCTTCTGAAAGTAGATGGAGCAGGATATGGCGAACTGTTATCGTGTCACAGTGGTGAGGTCAGGTTTCACTCCCATGATGAGGGAACGGGTGATGTTCACCACCCCTGATCCCGAGCGTCTCCTCTCCCTTCCCCACAGCTCCTAGCATTGCACGCGGCCTGTGCAAAGGTGGCCAACCTTTCCGGCGCGGCAGAATATCTTGACAAGCTGGATCTGGAACTGGAGACGACAGACGTATTGGCGTGTGATGGAGGCTCAGCTGAAGTGTTGAATCATGCGATTGCCTCTCTCGCTGGAAGGGGTATCAGTGTCGGGGTGTAATTGTCTATTCTCGCACCCTCTCTATGTATGATGCTGCGCCAATTCAGGGAGATGGAGCCTCTTGTTGCGATTGTTATCCTTGTTGTTCTATGTCAGTGAGGTGGATGCATCTGAGTATACGTGTTGTCCGCGCACCCAAGGCTGCAATAAACCATGCATTCCATGTTGCATTGTACGTATTCAGCTGCGATTGCGACTGGGATGATAGCCTCATTACGGCAAGCGTCCTCGACCAGCACTGTGCTGCCCGCCCAACTTGTCACAGTACACATCCTTCAGGTCCTTTGCAGCGCAGTTGCCTCGGACGTACTTAAGGCTCGCCTGACCGGGACCCGAAAGCAGATGGCTGCTAAATAGGGGCTGTCTCCGAGCCTCCTCGAGGCCTGCGGTCGGCCGCATTCCTCTCGTATTTTGTCCGCCTACGATAAGCTATCTGCCCTATATCTATCGTATATCGTATATTTGTTCTCTGCTATCCACCGCCCCCGCTGACAATGTCTCTCGCATTGCTCGCCAGGCGAAGCATAGCGCGCTGCAGACCCCGGTGTCTGCGAGGCTATCACCAGTCCGCCCGGTCCACTGGCCACCAGCCAGATGCCTTCAGCTATGCAGCACGAGTCGGGCTTGTGTCGGGTACCCTGTTCGGCGCTGCACTCGCCTACGGACCGACGTACGCCGACGCACCCGACTCTGACGAGCGCACCCGGGCGCAGCGCAAGCGCGCCCAGCCGTCCCTCGCAAGCCTCCTCAGGTCGTACGTCGTCTTCTCTGCGTGCTCCGTCCCGTTCGTGGTCGACAATGCGCCGACGGTGCTCTCGGTCATGATGTCCATCCCCGGGATCAAGCAGGTCACGGAGGCGGTCGTGCGCGCGACGTTCTTCAAGCACGTAAGTGCACCAGGCTCGGTCAGGTCCCCCCCTCATGTGAATCGAACCCGCTCTGTAGTTCGTAGGTGGTGACACCGCGGAAGACTGCCTGCCCCTCCTCGAGCAGTACCGCGCCGAGAACAAGGGCTGCCTCTTCGCATACAGCGTCGAGGTCGACGAGAACGAGGCGGCGGGGAAGGACGCGGGCGGTGCGGCGAAGGACGTGCAGCCGGTACACAAGCGCATCGTGCAGGAGATGATCCACTCCATCGACGTCGCGGCCGACTTTGAGGAACGGCACGTCGTGAACCCCGCCGACCCGGCCAAGGGCCGCAAGACGTGGGTTGCGATCAAGCTCGTAAGGGAGCTCGTGTTTGCATTACATGGTCTCGATACTCATCCAGCTCATATAATACCGTAGACTGCCCTGCTGCCGCACGCACAGTCCCTGATTAAGTTTTCCTCGCACCTGATCAAGACACGGCCGCCAACCCCCGACATCCCTTTCCCCGGTATCCCGCACGCGAGCGACCTCAGCGTACTGTACGATAGTACGCCACCTCCATCATCCCCGCTGACTGAAGCCGACATTGTCGAACTCCGGGAGCTCCACCAGGACTTGGTACGGATATGCACACGCGCAAAGGAGATGGGTGTGCGCATCATCTTGGACGCGGAGTACAGGTCTGGCTTATGTCTCTCGCTACGTTATCGCTGGCACTATGAACTGAGAAGGGACTTTATTGCAGTTGGTATCAAGTACGCTTCCTTCCTCTACCCTGCCCGAGCGCGAGTAAGCCTGGCTAAGAGTTCCGGTCCGCCTGCTAGCCCGCCATAGACGCATATGTGTACGCCCTCGTCCGGCAGTTCAACTCGCGTTCCGATTTCCCGGCCAGTGACGCTACTCCGAACGTCCAGCCCTTGGTGTACCAGACATACCAAGCGTACCTCCGTCGGTTCGCCTCGTCTCCTCTCCCCATGCAGTCATATTTAATCTCTTACGGTCGTTTATCAGCACCCCAGGCTACCTCAACCAAAGCATCCGCGACGCCTACCTGCACAACTACGCGTTGGGCGTGAAGCTCGTGCGGGGCGCGTACCATCCGCACGAGACGCTCGCGCACCCGTCCTCTGCGCAGACCTCGGCCGCGCTGCGCTCGCTGTCAATCTCGCCGGACCCGCTCCTGCCCGTGTGGGCGGAGAAGGCCGAGACGGACCGCTGCTACAACGAGTGCGCGCGCGTGCTGGTCGAGAATATCCGGCACGACGTGGAGACTCGGAGGGGCGGGGCATCGTTCTGGTCTTGGGGGAGAAGGCAGGGGCAAGAGAGGGACGTGCCGAGGATCGGGGTGCTGTTCGGTACGCATAATTGGGAGAGCGCGAATAAGATCTTGGAGGAGCTGGCGAAGAATGGGCTGGCGGAGAGAGAGCGGGAGGACGGGGAGGATGTGTTTAGGGTTCCGGAGGCGGTCACGGAAAGGCTGACTATGGGTCAGCTGTATGGTGAGTTGCGTAGAAATTTGTTCACCTCGAGTGCGTGCTGAGAGTGTTACGGTAGGTATGTGCGATGCTCTGACAGATTATTTGGTGGATAAGACGAGGTGTTCTGCGCCCTTCGTGATCAAGTGCGTGCCTTTTTTTGGTCAACTGTCCTTTACTGACTGCTTTGCATAGGTATGTTCCCTACGGAGCACTGTCTGAGGTGAGCCCTATCTTCGTACCTCTCGGACACCCATGTCTTATCACCGTTTCAGGTTATGCCATACCTCAGCCGTCGAGCCATCGAGAACAAGTCGGTGCTGGGCAATGGAGCTGCTGCTATGGAACGCAAGAGGGCATGGAACGAGATACGCAAACGACTGTTTGGCTAACTAACGATACAATTGGACACATTGGGCTATCGACTGCATGTAAATATAGACTCAGTTTATTGTTGTACTGCTACCGTCCCTGGGTATAGGGCACCCTCTCGAAACCCGGAAACTTGAAGACACCCCTTATCATCCATTCCAAGCAATCACGCTCCTACCAGCTCTTTGAACTCGCCACTCCACTGCTGCGACTTCTGCAGCTCGTCCACGAGCGCATCGAACCGCGGGGACGCGCCGGGGGTGCGGATCTTGCTAAGCGCTGCGACTGCTCTGAGGGCGCTTCGCTGCAGTTCCGAGGCCCGCTCCAGGTCTTGTTTGACGGTGTCCTTTGTCACCGTTGCACCCTTCATCGTCTTCTCTAGTTGAGGCGCGGTCTCATCTAGACGCTGCGCCACAACCGTTGGAGCAAGCTGCGACAACCGGAAGAGCATCATATGCGAGATAACCTTGATCTCGTCCGAGTCGTCGACCAGCCCGTTGAGCACCCGTGCGAAGAATTCGTGGAGGTCGAGTTTGGACAAGCATGTGTCGAGCTATCGGCCCGTCAGTTACGTGGGCGGCACAAACCGAGGTCATACGTACCAGAGTGTACATGGTCTCGTAGGCCGTCTTGCGTGTCTCGAGGCCATCATCGACCTTGTGCGTCCAAGGTCCCATTTGGACGGTACGGATAAGATCTGGGTTAATTACAGTCTCCTTATAGAGACTGGGTAGCAGTGCGTCGAGGTGATCCCTTATGAGGTGAGGCTTGGTGCGAGCAGCCGAGTTCAGCGCAGATAAGGCGAGACGACGAACAGTCTGGAACGGGATGTGAATCACTGAAAGACAATCCATAGAGGGAAGCAAAGATACTAACCAAATCAGTATCGTGCATAAGAGATAGGAAATCAATTATGACGGGCGCAAGAAGTTCATCGTAAGAACGCGAAGGATCCGAAAAGGTGTATCGAATCGCTGAGACGACGGTAGCCCTGGTTGAGGGATTCTCGTCCTCAATACGAGCCTGCAACACATGCCATTCAACGCTAATCCTATAAGAGCACATCAGAGACTTACATGGAGTTGTGGCAGATATCTGGACGGCTGCGTAACCGTGAGTTTGCCCAAGCAAGCAGCGGCGACATTCCGGGTCGTTTCTTCTGAGTTCTCTGAGTTCTCAAACAGAGGTACCCATAGAGTATCCGCTACGGTCTCCAACTGTCCATGTAGACAGTGAGTCACGACCTGGGAAAGAAAGACTCAGACCATGAAGCCAAGGCAAACCCCTCGATCGACCAACCTCCTTTACGGCATGCAGGGCGAGCAATCGTCTCTGGGGATCGTTCTTCACAATCTTGATAATTGACGGTAAGAAATGATGTAGATTTCCGACCGCAATATTACCTGTAAAGACGAAGTTAGCATGAGACTATTGCGTCAGAATTTTAGTCATACCAGCAGCAAAGGCAGCGGCCGTCCGTACTTCCTCTTGTTCAGCTGTGAAAAAGTCTATGGTACTAGTAAATATATCGTGCTGAGGCGACATGTCGCTACGAAAGCAAGCAGTTAAATTTACATATGCTTGATGCCATGACCAAGAGAAAAACGCGCACATGAAACGACCGAGCTCCCCTAGAATCAGTAAACTGAGCACCACTTGGCTAGTGTTCGCCTTGGAGTTCTTCTTCAAATGCTTGGAGAACTCGGCAATGACGCCAGCAGCAACACCTTGTTGACTCTGAACAACCTGGGCGATGCACTTCGAGACGTTGGCAGGCGATGCCTCGCCCTTTGGGGCTTTCGACAGAGATATCACTAGACTGGGTACGACATGCGTGGCAATCTGGTCGTCAGCCTCGACCAGTGCGGCAAAGAAGGCCAAAAGCGAATCCAAAGCACCACCGGCTAACAAAGGAGAGTGCGCAATGGCATAGATGTCCTTGAGCAAATCACGCTCGACGACAGGGAAAGTAATCTTTGGTGAGAGTTCCAAGAGCACAGCTATGCTTGTCAAGGCTTGCGAGAGAGCAGATATATCCGTAGTAGTCACGAAGGTCTTGAGTTGTCCTACCAGAACTGGTGGAAGATCTTCTGGGACACCGGTTTTGTACCTGAAGGAATGTAAATCTCGCGATCTGAGTTATGCGCTTTTCGACTTACCTTTGAAGCAAGGTATCGAGGCAGATGAACAGGTCATTTTTCTCCGTTCTGCCGCTCCTCTTGAGCAACGACATGACCCATTGCATGCATCCATTAACCCAGTCGTCACCCACGTCAACTTCTCTTGCAACTTTCGTGACGACCTTGACAGCACCTTCAGTCCTGCCGCTGGTTCTGCAGATTGCATCCCACTCCTTTCTATCTCTACCCCTGACTACGTCAGTAGCACATATCCATAGATCGCCGATACATTCTTCGACACAGTTTCTGACCTCCGAGTCTGTGTCATGGTTCGTCAACCTCCGAAGTGCTTCATTGTATACACTCTCCGCCCAGTCAGCGCCTTTCACGGGTTTCAAAGCATATAGGAGTGAGGAAAATACCCGGAAAGCCTCTGAGGCAACTCGGGGATGCTTCTCTCCTAGGCTTTTCAAGAGGACAGGCGTCAATGTCGGCAGAGTGCTGCTGAACGTCGGTGGAGAATGCGACGAGAAGAAAAGCGAAAGAAACGACAAGCAGGTAACATGAAGATTGGACGAAGAACTCGTCGGTGCTTGCCCCAAGATGCTTCTGGCAGTCGAAGCAATCGGCGCAGCCTGAGATGAGAGGCAGCCAGGTAATACGGAGAGCAAAGTCTGGAGCAGCTCGAATCCCGCTTGCAGAACTGGCGGCTTGGTCTTGGATGACTTCAGTTGATTTAGCAAAGCCTTGGACAGGCTAGGGACTTGACCGCGCAGAATGTTGTAGGGTGTCTCTTCTACGTCCATACCTTCCTCTTCTCGCTTCCTCTTCCCACCGACAGGAGACGGTGCATCGAAGACCTTTTCGGGGGCTACACCACCATACACCCTAGTTTGATTGAGCAGAGAAACGTAAGTCGCCCATACCTCCAGCCTCACTGTCTCCTCTCGGTCGCCAAAGCGAGAGATCAGCACAGGAGAGACGTCTTTGTACAGAGTAACCAGCTGTTCAGGGCGGGTACCTATTATGGCCGCAAGCAATTTCGTGGCGGAGCGCCTGATCTTGTATGAAGTGTCTTCCTCGTCAGAGTACCTGTTAATGCAGTTAGGAATATCCTGAGCATAGCAGTGAGTAAATTGCGTACTCGTCTAGTTCGGCATCATCTTCCTCATCTTCTGCGTCCACCATCTCCTCGTCTTCGTCGTCGTCGTCGTCCGCAGCATAATTCTATGGCCCAATGGTAAGCTCTCGATCCGCAAGGCAATTCTGAAGAATCATACGAACGGGGTCATATTTGATATACTGGCTACCAATCTGCACGACCGCAGTCAAGAATGGTGTCATCTCCGACGGGCATCTGAGGACCAGTGTTTCTAGTGCCTGCGATCAAGACATGAGTTTAACAATCTACTTATATCAACAACTAAACATACCTGGAGACAGCTTTCTCGAAGTTCGTCATCGTCCCGTTGAACAGCCGCCACGATGCCTGGTACTATTTCGCTCAGCGAAGGAATAATCTGGGTAGGCGAATGCCGAACTATCGCGGTTACAAGTTGAACAGTAGTGGTTTGCTTGTCAATACTGGCGCCTGAGGCAAGGAAAGGGAGAATGTCTCGAGCCAGCAATTCGTGAAACAGTTCAGGCGGCGATACCGGGGCGTATTGCGCGATAGTTATGATGGCACGCTTTCGAACAGCAGTGCGAGGATGTGAAAGGAGTGGTGGGATGACTGTCAAGGGCTGTGGCATTAGTGTTGGGCTCGAAAGATGGCCCGGAAATCGCGTGATCAGAATTGACAGGATGGAGAGCGTCTCCATGAGCGTTTCAGGAGGAGTCTGAGCCTGTCGGCAGAGGTCTATGAGATTATGCTACAGCGTGTGAGGTACTACGCACGTTGGAAAGTTGCTGTAGTAATCTGGGCGCGAGCTTCGCGCAAGCTTTACCAGCTATCTGCCCCGAGGGGGGTAATTCAGACGTGATAGTCTTCAAAGCTGTGAGCAAGGTTAGATTAAGTCAGTTGAATAGATAGTCCACTCACCAAGACCTGAAATATCCCTGAGCTCGTCATCCTTACCAGACGAGAATTCTATGAGTTGATCAATTACGAAGTCCATCTGAGTTTCGCGTATGATCTTGATCAATTGTCCCAAGCTAATCGTACGTTAGATGACAAGACAATGGATCACTGTTTCATACTTGCCACTTCACTGCTTGGTTCTTGACTTCGGAGATCTTGTCCTGCACGAGCTGCAGCACTTGTCGTATGACCTTGTTCTCCATCGATTCGTCCCCCAGCAGACAATTTGGATCTTGCTTGATCTCCGTCATCAGGTCATTGAGACCCATGAATCTGAGGCGAAGATATGAACAACCATTCAGATGTCCTCCGTCTGTACAATGTCCATACCTGAAGTCCTGGTCCGGAGATTGCATCTACGAAGACCATTGGCCTCACTGGCATTACGCATTACAGACGCAACGAGGACTTACCTTCTCGATGAGACTTGTCATTAGATATGTTTTCGTCATCTTGGTCGTCAATGAAGGGTCGCAAAGGATAGGACCGAAGAAAGGTCGTGCTGCGATCGAGTGGCGCCCAGAAGTGCGATGTGCCCGAGCTTGTGCAGACTCGTCTGGTCTCGCGCGTAATTAGCCCCTATTCTCTTTATCTCCTACCACCACCATGAATCGTCCCGGAGCTCGGCCGTCGTCGAGGCCTTTCACGGGCTACTCGACTGCGTCTCGCCAAAATACAGGTCGTCCGACTACGGCTCGTCCGTGGACAGGTCAGTCTCGACCAACCACAGCCCGCCCGCAGACATCGGCATCGACGAGGAGCGAGGGTAATTATGTTATAGCGGTATTGGAAGGGAGGGGCGTCGCCCGCGAAGTTGGCGTAGCTGCTCTCAATAGGGACACTGGTCGTGTTTCTTTGATTCAAGTGGGTATTTGAGCGATCATGATACATTGGCTAGTTAATCCTGCCCAGCTCGCCGATTGTCAAACATATGTCAAGACTTTGCATCAAATGCATATACATTATCCTTCTCTCATTCTAGTACCCGACACCTTTCTATCCTCTGCTGATGCGTCCGTATATGCGTCCGGGAATAGGTCGGCATCGACGTCCATGCTAGTTCAGTGCATACAGGAAGAGTTTCCCGACGTTCCTATCGACCCTGTGCTCCGGAAATATTGGAACGAAACCGCTGGCTTCGAATTCATCAACCAACTCTGCGTTGAAGATAATGAGCGAGCCGCTACCCTCGTCGCTTCCTCTAACAAGTGCTTGTATATGCCGCGCTGATCTAACTTCTGTTAACCGTTTCATCTGTTCACAGATACTATGCTCTCTCTGCTGCCTGCGCCCTTTTCAAGCACGCGGAAACCAAGCTAAACACCCGCTATGCCGCCTCTTCGCTCAGTATACGATTTGTCCCAGTATCTGGTACAATGATGGTTGATCCTGAAACGGCTCGGAATCTCGAGTTGGTCGGCAACATGACTCGCAAGAAGTCCCCTCATTCCCTGCTCGGGTACGGCGTGTATATGTTCGATCGTATATGCTCTCCTGAGAGTAGATATTGAAGGCTCCTGAACCATACATATACAGCCATGGCTGCGAGATTATTGAGGGTCAATTTGCTCTCGCCAATAACGGGTGAACTCCACGTCGCATACATGCGGAGCAATGCTTATCTTTTGTGCAACCAGTCCAAAGTGCAATCGAAGCCAGATTAGACGCAGTCGAAGGTCAGCATATAGTCATACTGCGCACCTGACGGTTGGGCTCAGCCAGTTGTCAGAGCTCATGCAAAATGAAGAAACGTTTACTGCTGTCAAAGATGCATTGAAAACCCTCAACAAGATGGATTTCGACAAACTCATAGCTTGCGTGAGGCGATTCGCATTGCATCAATTCTGTGCCATAATATCCCCGGATTGCCTGATAGCTCATAGCCTCCGAAGCGAAGGAGACGCTAAACGTCAGACCTGCATCATCTCGAGTTGCTCAGATCCTCAATCTCCGTAACGTTGTCCGCAACCTCCCCAACTTGCAGAAGGCTGTTGCTGGGAGTAGGTCGGAGCTTCTTAGGATCATATGTGAAGTATGTAGCTTCTACTGCCTCGTTGTACATCGTCTGACAACACTACCGTACAGATGATTTCGGATGAGAGGCTAGCCACGATCGAGGAACGCGTCTGCCAGAGTCTGAACGAAGACGCGACCCCTTCGAAGGCATGCGATCTATTATCGTTCCATAGTGGTTCGTATCTCAACGAGGCCTACAGGGGGGACTAGCAGCTGTAAACGCTCGAGTATACGCCGTCAAGGTGAAGGCATCGGTTCAGTCTTCAGCATGATCTCATGCGCACTTTGCTCAGGCGAACTATAATCGCCTGCTGGACGTTGCTAGAGAAACGTACAAGGAGAACGTCGGGGACATATTTGCCCTCAATCGTGACCTGTCTGCGGAACATGATCTGCCCATAACGCTAGTGTATCAAGAGACAGGTTTCGTCTTCGCTCTGAAAAAATCTGATTTGGATGGCGAGTTACCAAGAGGTTTCATCAATGTCACGATGCAGAAAGGGAGGTGGCTCTTCTCGAGCATGGAGCTGGTAAATTATTAATTCAAGTAAAGATATGATTTGCTGAAGTGGTATCTTGCAGAAAAAGAGAAATGCCCGAATGAAAGACGCCCTGGATGAAACGCTCATCCTGAGTGATAAGTAGGTTACGTGGTAGTAGACCTCAAATTTTCTACTGATATCCCCTCAGAATTATTCAGGATCTTCTTTCTGAAATACTCGTAGATGTCGGGGCCTTGTACAAGGCGTCCGAAGCGGTATGGGGAGTCGTTGCTGGCACGTTTTCCAACATTATTCACCAGGAGCAGGTTGCGTTGTTGGACATGATATGGGCCTTTGCCCATGCTTCAATACGTAGGTCTATGCAAATTTGTGGCCAGACACTCATCCGATTGTGTCCACCCAAGTGCGAAACTATGGTCAGTAAAGGACTCGTACCATATCCTTCATCGATCCCTTCAACGTCAGCTAGTGCGACCAGAGTTCACTGGTACGTTGGCCATCAAAGCCGGCCGTCACCCGGTCCTCGAGACGGTCCAATCTTCGGGTAGCTTGGTCCCGAATGATGTCTACTGCTGCGAGGCATCCTCTTTTCAGATCGTACAGGGACCGAAGTAAGTGCTCCGTAGTGCCTTAAGAGACGGGGACTGATGTGCGTGCCGAGATAGTATGTCAGGTGCGACAGTAGGTAACCCTCTGAATGGAGTTTACGAAGCATCTGTCCAGGGAAGAGCACGTACTTGCGCCAAATCGGTTTGCTCACGGTGATGGCCATGTGCGGTTGCTTTGTCCCCGCTGAATATGCAAGTTTCCGGTAAGTAACAGATCTCATCCTTGTTGCACACCCTTTGCGATCAGTGCTAGGATACACGACGCCCTCCTCACTCGGCTGTCTAACGACGACGACATAGAGAAGAATCTCAGTACCTTCGCAAATGAGATGGCTTGCTCGGCTATGATACTAGGCATAGAGGGTCTTTTGGGACATGATGACAAGGGATTGACTTGTCAGAGCAGGCCTCGCCACAGCAGACACCCTGGTCTTGGTTGACGAGCTAGGACGAGGCACCTCACCCAAGGAAGGCGTCGGAATCTCCCATGCCATTGCTGAGAGCTTGATACAGACAAAAGTGCGTAGTGCTGATTGTACCTGCCATCCGTTTGACAACAAGCATGATCTATCATCAGTGCTTTGTATTCTTCGCAACGTGAGTAGATTCAGTTTTCTTTTGTAATAACCTTGCTGATACATCGCGGACTAGGCATTTCCACGAGCTTTCGACGACGTTGTCTCGTCAGCCCCCGGTAGTAAAGTAAGTCACATGTAAGATTATTCGATGAGTATTCATCCTTTCGTAGTCTGCACCTAGCGGTACAGGTAAGCGGGATGCGCGTATACATGACGATTTTTTCAATGGCCCGTAGAAATCGCGCCAGTCTAGCTCCAATTTTGGGATTACCTTCCAATACAGGTTTGGTGATCGAGCTGACTTATGAAGACTCTCTGCTTTAATTTCTTCTGGACAGGATCATAGACGGTGTACCGGAGGACTTGGATCACTATGGTCTGCTGAACTGAACATCATTCATTGGTGGCCCTTCCTGCTATGCTAATCCAATACAGGGTTGGACATGGCGCGCCTCGCGGACTTACCCCAAGATGTCATGGTAGAAGGTAGGCGTGTTGCAGAGCATTTAGCGGCGCTCGAAGCTAGACGTGAAGAGCAAAGCCAAACAAGCAAAATAGCGGTCCGCCGGAAGGCGCTACTCAGGGTAATTCCTTCATTCAGGCTGGTACTGCCTGGCTTGCTGACAGCGGTCGGGATTCCGGGACTGTCTGTAGCTTCGCAGTCAACTTACGCAAGCCCTGCAGCATTCTGCACTGCCCGAGGAAGATTTGGAAGCTTATATCGCCCGGTTTCAGAAGGATATAACTAGGGTTCTTCATGAGACTGTCAATGTCGGATGAAACCTGTATTTCCTAAGCGGCACCACGTCATGTACTCCCGTGGTCTGCAATAATGGCTGTATTTCTGCTGGTAAATGCACTACTAGTATCCTGGATCCGGACCTGCATCATGATATAACAAGTTGAACGTGGTACCTGGGGTTGGCTGTAGGACTCTCATACCAGACGTAGCTTCTTCGCCAATATGTGGCTTTGTGGCGGCGCTAGCGCTTCCTTCGTAGTAGGCGTACGTATCTTCCAGCAATAAATAGCTCAGCTTCCTCCGTGATCCACCGAATATGCAAAGCCGAGATCTCTCTTCCTTGTCTCACAGCGCATACGCACGACTGCCGCGCCTGCTCGAGAAAGTCTTCCTGGATCTCCCATGACCGGGGGCAAATTCACCTAAAGTCTGTCGACATCCACTCACAGTTATACGTCGAAGCCGCCGTGGAGAACGATGGGCCATACCGTTTCCAAACTTCGCTTGGCCTGGAAAGAGTTGGTCCGGCTGGTACACATCTATGACGATGTCTACAAGCGCCTACAGGCCTCTCCAGGCGTGCCGGATACCTCAAACCCGACAACACGGTCATTTTGGACAGTCCCCGAATCACCTATCTCAACACACATTCTGAAAGAGTTGCCTGAATATGCCGACATTGTAATCGTGGGTTCTGGGATTACCGGAACATCCGTGGCATACAACGTCTTGGACTTTGTGCCCACAGGTTCCTTGACGATTGTCATGCTGGAAGCACGAGAAGCGTGCTCCGGAGCTACTGCAAGGTAGGTCAGCCGTGGTAGTACGAGGTGTTCGTTGGCTAAACAATTGTCATTTAGAAATGGAGGACATATCAATCCACCCCTATGGCATGATTACGCTGACCTCAAAGAGGTATACGGCGAGAAGGAGGCAAAGACTATCATGCAGTTTCGTCTAGCTCATCTCCGGGAAATGATGAGTGTTGCCGCCAGCGAATCCATCGCGGGCCATTGCCAGATCAGAGAGGTTGAGACTGTCGACGTCTACTTTGACGACGCACGCTTCGGAGCGGCGAAGGAAGCATTCAAGTTGTGGCAAACCGATATGTCAGCGGACAATGATTCTTTCTATCCAGTTGAGAAGGAGAATGCTATCAAGGTACGGAGATCCTCTTCCGCTTCATCGACCAGTATCATGGGATCAAGGTGGCACGGAATACTTCGGCGGCTCTATGCTGATGAGGTGTTCCTTGCGTATCTTAATGACCCGTGATAGTTCTCGCATCTACCCGAGCTCTAAGACAGCCTTTTCAATGGTTCGCAGAACTTCGGACTAGCCAACGAAGTCGCGGGCTGCATCATTGGTGCCGCAGGAGCCGTACATCCCTACCGCTTCGTCACGTCCATTCTATCAAATCTCCTGAAGCGTCACCCTGACCAGTAAGCTGAGAACGGGTTTTATAGCATTGGCCTCGTCATTGAGAACAGGTCCGTCTAGCTTCTTCTTGTCGACCCACACACCTTGTACAGACGTCCATACCTCCGCCCGTGGTTACACCGTTGTTACCCCGCGGGGCATGATTACGACACCACACGTAGTTCACGCGACAAACGGATGGGCGTCTCATCTCCTGGAGCCTTTGCGTGCCAAAATTGTGCCCATCCGAGGTAACATGACAGCTCAGCGGCCAGGGCAGTCTCTCGCTCGGTCCACCCGAGATGGGTACCGCGCACACATCTTCTATCGGGACCAAGGATATGACTATCTTACCCAGCTACCGGACGGAGAACACGAACTGATGTTTGGTGGGGGCTTTGCACAGGCTAATAAGAATGGTCTGTCAGAGATAGCAGACATGGACGACGGGTCATTAAATTGGGGCATTACAAACAACCTCGGAGGCGCGCTGCCGCTCTACTTCGGCCCATCGAACTGGGGCGCAGAAGCCGTTCCATCCAAATCATCCGATCGCGATGAAGTGGACTGGCCCCAAGGTAGAATGAAAGCGTTCTGGACGGGTATTCTGGGTATCTCCGTCGACGGGAGGCCTTGGGTGGGGCGTCTCCCTCCCAGATCGACAGGCCGGCGTCGTCCTCTCCCGTTGCCTGACAAAAGTCGACTTACCTCTGTCCCCTCCGAATGGATATCCGCTGGTTATAGTGGTGAAGGTATGCCTCATGCTTGGATGAGTGGGAAGGGCCTCGCATATATGGTGCTGGGCGTTGAGAAGGAAACTTGCCTTTCTGAGTGGTTCCCGCAGAGCTTCATAGTTTCTGAACAACGTCGAAGGAAAGCGAAAGTGGAGGACCTTCTTGATAGATTCCGTAAGTAGAGAGGGTACGCAGTGTTCTATTACATAGCCACCGCAGGACTGTACCACTGGTATTCATTTCATCAATTGCACTTATTGGTTTATGCTGTACTCATACAACTGCTTCACTTCTTTCTCTATAAATTGTATGACTATTCCCGTGCTGCCGCTCTGTACTTCCCTAGTGCGTTATCCAATATTTCTGTCATGGCAATGACGGCCTCCTCCTCCAAGGTCCGGCCAATCAGTTGCAGTCCAACGGGAGCACCGTGGAAGAGCTTTGGGTCATCTGCAAACACCATCATCAGGGCGAGGTTAATGGATCAGCGGAATGGACCAAGCACGTACACAACTTATAGTTGGCTTCGTCATGGTGATTGTAGAATTCGTGAGGGGGAACAGGTCTGTCCAGCTCCTCGTCGACGAAAGTCACAGGGACAACAGACGTAGCGTAGTCCATCGCATTACAGAAGGTCGTATAAAAATAGTCGCTGAGTCCAGCAAGGCGGTCAATGATTTTCGCAGAGGTAGTGCAAGCAGCACGTACTTGTTTAGGCCGTGAGGGGGTGCAACGTAGGGAGCTGCCGGCGATATTATGGCGTCCACGGGTCTGCCAGTACCAGTTTGGTTTGCAGTAGCTTGCCAGTGGTCCAGCTGCGCCTTCCGTAGCGACCTCTTCTCCTTGTGCAGTTGCCACAGCTATCGAACAGGCCCACCGACTCGTCAGTGGATGTGTCAAGCACAGAAGCGGAGAATTTGGTCACCTCCCAAGCCGTCAGCATCTTCTTCTCGGGGCCGAGGACGGTCTGCACGAGCGGCTCGTCTAGCGCTAGATCGTGCTTGTTGGTGTCGGGGCTCATGGTTTGAATAACGGGCTCGCCCGACTCCTCACATACAACGTGGAAGTCATGCCCCCCGTCTGCGGCGTATATGCTCTCCTGGAATCCCATAAGGCACTCGCGCGGAAGGGGGTACCGGGTACCTACCGCGTTTCTGAATATCTCCAACATCTGGTATGGCTGCCAGTCGATGACTATCCAACTAGGGTTCAGATGGCCATGCTGTACTATTTCCGGTCAGACACCTACCTTTATGTCCAGCATCCTCAAGCGCAGCCTTGCACATCCGCATGGCACGCCAGAGCGGAGGGTGAGGTTTCAACAGGCCGTTGTCCCACATGATAGCAAAAGAAAGCTGTCCCCCTCCACCATGTTCGCTGAGGGCATACTCCTTGTCTGACCATTCTTTGCGGACAGCCAGCGGGTCCTTATTCCACGGCTTAGAATCGAGTACCGCCTTCATGAAGAGTTTCACACCGGACACCGCGTTGGTCATGGGCCCTGGGACAGACGAAATGGATTCCTGGCCTTCCTGCGAGTTCACCGCCCCCGCGTACGGCAGACGCTCGTACGAGGGGCGGAGGGTGTACAAGCCACAGAACGCGCTGGGTATCCGGACTGAGCTGCATCCAAGTTGCCCGTTAGATGTGAAAACCCGAGATGGGTGACAGCGTCTCACCCCCCGATGTCTGTACCAATACCGAGAGGACTCCCTTTCATGGCGACGAGTGCACCCTCGCCACCGGAAGAGCCGCCGCAGGTCAGGTAGCGGTTCCATGGATTTGTCGTCCGCCCGAAGACGTGATTGAATGTCTCGCCCCACTATCGCGTGGAAAGGATGCAGCGTAATCAACGGTGGAGCTAAAGATTGATGATATACTTACATTCAAAGTCTGGCAGACGTTAGTTCGGACGAACGGAACGGCGCCACACTCGTATAGGATCTGCGTAAGGACCGAGTCCGAGTCGGCATATTTACCAATCCATGAGGCATAGCCTAAGCCACTCGGCACATCCGTTAGACGCGGAACGCCACAAGAAATAACCAGACAGACCCATGGTCGTTTCTAGGCCTTTGATCTTGAACTGGTCTTTGAGGGAGATGGGGAGGCCATGGAGGGGCCCCATGACTTTGCCGGTGACTTTGAGGTGGTCATCGACTTCCTGTGCACGCTGCAGCGCTCGCTCGACGAATATTTCCGTTAGACAGTTGGTCTAACCGAGAAGAAGTCAGCAACGGTAAGGAGGGAAACCGAACCCAGCGCTGACAAGTTGCTGTGCGATGATGGCCCGCTTGTAGAATGCGGTGGTCACTTCGACGGAGGACCATTGGCCGGAGGCCAGCTTGCTCAGGAGAGCGCCGACGTCGGTGGTGTCAGTGATCTCAATCTCGCGCGGCGTTAGCAGCCCGCACTTGTATGGGACGTCCAGAACATTCAGGACGTCGTCGGGGGGCGTTTCAATGAGCCATGCGCGTGGAATGGCCTCCTGTTGTTGCTGCTTCTTAGCTTTGCACCGGGCCCGCCAATCGGGAGCGGCGGGGGTCACGGAATCCGAAGCCATCTGGACACGATCAGTCTAATGATGCTGCGAGCCTCTCGCCCTCCGACCGACCTCGACGGTAATCGCAGATCTGACTGTGTTTTACTTCAGAAATGACCAGGAAATGACGTCTGGTTTGTACGGCTCAACATTTGCTAAATGTCGATTGATGTCTGGAAATTTCTTACGGTTGTCTTCCGCACGTTTGGCATGCGTTGTAGGTCCGGATTCAGTTTCTTCAGTCTGCAGAGTGCGCACCCGGCAGGTACGCGGTATTTCTGACGAACGGATGGAAGCTCACGGTCGGAGTTCTGGTGGTTAACAGGGGCGGGTTTCATTGAACCTAAAGCATTATTCGGGTTACCCCTTACAGGATGCCTTTTCCATGTCGTCTATAATTGCCCGTGTGGTCCCGGGCCTTTGTAGCGAGCTGACGGAGATTTCGGAGGACCAGAAAGGGAAGGTCTACAAGTAAGGCTCTGCTCACAATTGATGACTCCGGATAGATGACTGGGGAGTCAGTCTCCTAGTCCAGGTCTGTCGTGCGCAAGGCGAAAGCAATGCTCACGTATCAAGTCCCTGGGTTCGCCTGGCAGAATCGTTTTTACAAACACTTGCCAGGAAAGGGGGTCTGTATACATCTGAAGATGATATAAATACTGCGAACTCTGCGCCGGCAAGCCGAGAAGGCAGTCATCTGTCTGTAGACCTCTTCGCTGTTGATTGCCATGTACCCAATGTTGCTGAATGAGGCTAGCGCGGCCGTCCCAACAGTTGGGAGGGCCCGAGTCGTCTCAGATCCCAGACGTGCACGGGAAACACTCACAGGCGGGGTACTTATCCTGTAGATATCAGTGCATAAACGCGTGACAATGGAGCCGACGGGCGTGGGGGGAGGGGACTGTAATTGTAATTGTCGACAACGCAGCTGCACTCACCGCCCGCCGTTTGTGTTGCAAGGCGTACCGACCTTGCACGTTGAGCGCTGCACCATTGACCGCCGTCCCAGCCGTCTACAACGTTCCAGAGACAAAAGCAAAGATAATCAGATTCGGACGAAAACATAACAAAAAGGGCGAAAAGGAAAAGCGCAATCGGATTTGTTTGGTGTTATTTCGCCCATCAGCGGTTGCCGGGCGTCGACTGGAGTGACCGTGTCGCTCCATCGTTCACTCGCTCGTCGTCGTCGCCGTCGTCGACAAGCCTTCTCTCTCCGTCTTTCAGACTACGGCCCCGAGCAGCTTTCGTACTTTTCTTTCTCTTCCAACTACTTTTCTCTCGCTTCGTTCGTTCAACCGGTCAGTATCTCCCCTTCTCTAGCCTGCTGCGCGTCTCAACAAGCTTCTGCTTTCCGTCTGTTCTCGTCTCGGCGCTGGACGTGTCGTCGACGCTGCTTTCCACATTAGATTCAAGTGCGCTTAGCTGCTCGTGGCGCAGTCAATGGCCGTTCTCGCTCCCCAAGATTGGCACCTTCCGAGAGATATCGCAATGGACGTGCCCTCCCCGAATTCTTCAAATCCGTCGGTTCCCCGCCAGCAACCGTCTCCTGCAGGCGATCGGTCCAACTCATCATCTTCAATGTCGCCGCCACCGCAGCAACAACAACAGCCATATCCGTACCCGGTCCAGCAGCAACAGCAGGCTGGATGGACACCCTCCCAACCGTTTTATCCTTCGTTTTATCAAAATCACCAGCAGCCTTACCCGGTCCACCCTGCGCAGGGCCAGATGCCTCCGCAGGGTCCATACTTTGACCCCGCTGCCAATGCTCAGTTCGCCCAGTGGGCTTATCAACAGATGATGTACAACGCTCAGCAGCCGCATCATTACATGCCCTCTTCCATGCCTGGTCAGGGACGAGGCAGGTCTGCTAGCGCAAGTTCGCCCGGAGACTATTTCGCGCAGGGCCAGATAGCCGGCTTTAGTCAGTTCCCGAGCGGTACCCCGACTGCTCATCCATCGCAGTTGCCTCCCAACCAGTTTAATCCGGGGGCCCAGCAGAGGAATGGGGGTAGCCCTTCTGGTGACTATGCTGGCTTCCATCCCTACCGCCGGCCTGCCAACCGTCAAGGTTCTCATTCGAGTCAGGATCCGGAATGGCGACCACCAGGGGCTGCAGGGCCGTTCCAGCCGCCCTACGCACGCGCAGACGCGTCAGGTTCGTCTTCCTCGGTCAATTCTACGTCTTCGAGTGGCGGCTCCCGGCAGAGGACGAGCAGTTTGCAGGGACAGTCAAATAATCCTGGACAATCCAATAGTGCCGGATCGTCTGGTAGCACGCGCAGCCGTAACCCGCCACAGCAAGCACCTCCGTCTAGCAACACCAACGGACATGGAAGGTCGAGCAGTACGAATGCTTCTCCTGCTCCTGCCACGTCGTCCAGCAGTGCTTCCCCATCAAGGCCTCATCCTCATACCCGTAATCTTTCGACCTCGTCTTCCTCGTCTTCTGCTTCTCGCACTCAAGTCACATCGCCGTCTTCTACATCTACTACTAGCGGCACTGCGAGCCCCCACGGAAGTGCGACAGCGCGGCCGATGAAACCATCGCCGCTGTCGCAAGGGAACTTCACTGCAGCGGAAAAACGTATGTCTCGCGATGACAGCGATTTGAGCGCAATGCTCGACCCTGTGCCAGGCCTCTCGGAACGCAGAGGAGGTATCAAAGGCCGTTTGCGCAGGGCACTGTCCTTGAATGCGACCCAGACACTGCGCGAGGAGGACGAAGATGAGCACGCGAGCGGTCCGTCTACTCGGAAGGCTGAAGCTCGCAGTAAGAGCGACTCCGGGCCGAGCAATGGTATCGCCGGCGATGCCAGCGACACTGCTTCCAACGCGACTGTGCAGACCAAGAAAAAGCGATTCGTCTTCAATTCCCGGTTTAACCGCTCGACTGATAACATATCTATCTCCTCCGTCTCGTCTTCTGCCTCCGTTATGATACGCAAGATTGGTTCTCTTGGAAAGCTTGCTAGACGTAACTCCCTTGCTGGTATTACGTCGATCTTCAAAGATAAGAAGGATAAGGAGGAGGCAGAGGAGTCTGGGAAGAAGGGTAAAAAGAAGAAAGGCAAGAGCGAGGTATCTGAACCGAGTGTGTCGCATGCCACGGCGGAATTCGATAGAGGTGAATGGGACGGCGCCGACCTCAGTGGGTTGAGTCCTGCTGCTAGGTTGGCGCGACAGCATACTCTGAAGAGCAATGCGGAAGCAGCTGCGAGGGCCAAGGCCCAGCAGGAAGCTGTTGCGAAGGGTCAGAACAACGAACTCCCGACGACATGGGAGAAGAATACGACTAACCGGGACCACCTTCCCGCAGGTACTGTGGCGGTCGGCGAGGATGGCACGAGGTACATGGGTGACGACGATGACTCTGGGAGTGAGGATGGTACGTATGATGATCAACATGGACGACCGCATTACGGTGGTGAAGGCTGGGACGATGGCCAGAACTGGGGTGAGGAAGAGGAAGATGAAGACGTTACCATCAGAATGGGCCTGGAAAGCACGGCGCTCGATGATGATTACGATGGAGAGGTCGAGCCTTGGGCAACCAATGTTCGGAGGAGTGTTGAGAAGGCACGCAAGCCTGCCAAAGGTATCCTGAAAAGTGCGTGATCGTACTCGTCGTTAAGAAAACAATGCTGATCTCAATATCTTTTCAAGAAGATGCCAATTATTCTCAAGATGCCTATCTTGACCAGCCCCCTCCGTCTATTCCCCGCGCTCGTTCTAACTCGTACAATTCTCATCCAGCCTCTTCATCGGAGCTGGGTCCTCTTGCGCGGATTCCATCTCCCGACCCAGATCATATCGATGGCCTGCACCGACACGGTTCCCAGTCTTCTCACCACTCGCCCGCAGCTGATAGTTCTACGCATCCGTTATTCGAAGCAGGTGCTAAGAAAGAAGCGGCAGAGTCCAGCGGTTCGCATGAGAAGGGTCTTTTCAATCACTCCAATTCATCAGCACCAGCATTGTCGACCGTCTTCTCCAATGGGCCCCCTACATTACAACATCGGTCTGCAACTGCTCCAGCGAAGCGACTCGCATTTGCGTCGAATCTGTCGGTATACGACACGTTCGCGCCCTCTGTTTACGACCGACGAAGCGAGCCCGCGACATGGAGTAGATTGACTCCGGCGTTGGCTCAGCGCATAAAGGAGGAGCTCAACTCCTACAAAATGGAGGAGATGGAGGTGCATGCCGCCAGCCGAATCCAGTGCGTACTTCTTCATTATGCGTAAGAGTCATTCTAACAGCCCTTCCATAGCACTCAATTCTTCGTCTGATCGTTCTGAGGCCATAGAATGTTCTCCGTCTGGGTCACTGCCCGGCCGCATGATTCCAAGAACATTGTTACTTCACTCGCCATCTATCTTCTGCTGAGGTCTCATTTACATACATCGTCCTCCTTGTTTCGTCATCCTCGCCGCTAGCAAATGCTCACGTCTTCCCGTACGCCCGGATCCAACATTCAATGTGTTCAGTTTCATTTCAATCTATACCCTCACGTGTAATACTACCGACGCACGGTGTCCTCTTCATCCGTTCCTAGCTATATATATGTACGCTGTGTCGTACGTTGCCCATCTCACTCTTTTCTGAAGCTACCATCTTGGACGGACTTTCAAGTGGGTAATGTGTCGACGACTAACGTCTATGTCTAGTATATTATGTTTTGACTGGCTTCCTCACGTAGTATTACCCATCCACTCCTTTAGATCTTAGTTTCCCAGTATTTGTGATAGGGCTGCTCAGTAATACGATAGGCCTTATTATCGCCACTCGTGTTGTGGACCAAGCTCAGGTGTGGTGCGACGTGATCAGCGACAGATGGATGCGTATGTATTATTCTACATGGTTGTGTGTGATGTACCTAGATATATGAATGCAGGTAGAAAAGACGCTGATGCAACAGGTGCTACCGTCAAGTAGCGAGGTGGTTAGAGCAATGGAACAAATCAAGACCTAGTCCCAGGATGGAGATGTACTGTATGAGTGGTTCCGGTTACTTGAACCATTCTCCTGCGCAGGACTACTGGGAGACCACTGCGGAGAAGTGGGACTGTACGCTGGTGACGCAGGAGCTGCAAGACAATCGAATTCAACACGTATCCAAACCGATCCCAATTTACACTTACAGTATGTGGGCGCTGCGGAAAGCATGACATATCAGCAATTGATTGTAGGGAGTAGGTAAGGTAAGAGAAGACTCACAAGCTGGTGAATACGCTGGCGAGGTGGGTGCTGCGAGGAATGGATGAGTCCCCTGAAGTAGAACGCGAAAGGCAACTCACAGTATTTGGGAGAAGTGACATGAGCGGGCGATGTTGGAGAATACTTCGGCGACGCCGGTGACATCTGCGCGGGCGCTGGACAATTGTGAGTTAGCAAACAGTCGCACCTGCGGTAGAATATACTCACAAGCTGAAGAAAGGACAAGCGCAGGTAGGATAAGCGGATCAGATCATCCAATATGATAAGAAGGGCGACTTACTGGGCGAATCTGCAATAATGGAGACCAGGTCAGTCAAGCAGTCAACATGGCAAGAGACACTAAACACGTACATCTCGGAGAAGCGGGGCTGAATGACGGGCTGGTAGGGGAGTAGCGTGGCGAAGTCGGACTGAACGATGGGGATTGCGGACTGTACCGCGGAGAGGTAGGAGAAAACGAAGGAGAAGTTGGCGAGTATCGCGGACTTGTAGGCGAGTACCCCGGCGAAGTAAGATTGAGAGCCGGCGAGGTAGGAGAATACGTGGGGGAGGTAGGCCCACGTCCGCGATCGTAGAACGGCGAGGTCGCATACGGCGATGTAGCGAACGGCGAGGTGGCTCCTCCGAAAGGAGACGGAGGAACATAGGGAGACGTAGGAGAGTACATGCTTGGCGAACTGGGGCTGTATCCGCCAGGACCACCGGGCGACATCCCTCCGGCGCCGATAGGACTCTGGCCGAAACCAAGGTAAGAGAAATTAGCGGCGTCCTCACCGCTATTGACAGCGAGCGGCGAGAACGCAGCAGATTCCGCTTTGAATGCACCCTCGTGGTTCCACATTGGGGAATTGCTGTCGTACGGAGTCATCGCCACTTGGCCTGGTGTCATACCTCCATCGACCTGTGCGGCAAGCATGTTCTGCACAGGTAAGCGGTGATCGACAATGACATCCTTCAGCATGTCAATATCCAACGCAACATCGAAAGCGCCTGTGCCCATAGGAGCCATCTGCCCGAACATGACGTTCTCCGCAATACCATGACAATCATCCTTCTCCCCTACCGCAGCTGCCTCCATCAGGATCTCCACAGTCTCTTCGAAGGAGCAGCGCATCAGAGCACCAGTATCTGCACGGTTTATACCGTGACGAGTGATAGCCATGAGCGTTCCACGGTGAGTCATGAGGTCGCAGAGTAGCGCCAAGTGCCTGTAGTTGACATACGACCCATCGAATTCGATGACACCGCGCAATTCCTTCATGATAGCAGCACGGGCGGCCTCGATACCCAAGACATTGAAGATCTCGACGCAACTATTGGAGTATGTGCGCTGGAAATCGACCCCGTCCACGCACATGACTGTTTTCAGATTGACGCCATCCGTTTCAAGCACCCACTCCTTCTCTTGCTTTGCTTCGATACTGCCTTCCTCGTTGATGACGACCTTGTCGTGCTCCAGCAAGAAGACGCGTTCGATGTCTTTCACGCCGCGCAAGCTGACGGAGTTCAGCATCGTGTTCTCGAGCTGCCGGAGGAATATATCTTCTTCGATGGTTCCCAAACCATCCTCGTCCTTGTCGGCGCCGCCAAGCACACGACAGCGGATGATCAGTTTATCGGAGTTGTCTTCACTCCAGATAACGAAGAGGTCCGTCTTGAAGCTCTCCGCTATTCTCCCGGCAACGTAAGGCATAGTCAGTTTACGATCGATCATCTTCGCTCGGTCCAGTTCGAGACGCAGCAACCAGGGCGACTGCAAATGCAACTTGGACTCGATTTCCTCGTCAGGGATAGCGAAGAAAGATTCCACGAAAACACGGTCCTCCTCGATAATGGTCGAGCTGGGATCTGGATCATACCAAATCTCAACAGCAGCGGTGACCGTACGCAGGGAAGTGTACGCAAGCTCTTGTTGTACGTTCTTCGCTTTGTACCTATCCGCGGCGATTTCGGGCTCCAGATAGACGGTCAAAGAGGGCGTCTTGATATTAGTCGCAACATTGATGATCTCCTTGAGACGAGGAACACCGAGTGTGACGTTCTTGCTGGACACACCAGCATAGTGGAAGGTGTTCAATGTCATCTGTGTTGCGGGTTCTCCGATGGACTGAGCTGCTAAGGTGCCGCACATCTCACCCGGGTGCACGATAGATTGATTGAACTTCGTCTCAACCTCTCCCAGTACCCAATCGAAAGCTTCCCTAGTGAGATGGAACTCCTCCAAGACACGTCTTGTCGCGAACGTGGCGCGCAAGTGCATGCGGAAAGTCAAGGTTGCATTTTTCTGTGCTTCCTTGCTCAAAGGATCGTCGCCTCGGACGACGACAAGCCTTTCGATGAGCGCTTTGACAGCATCGACAATGTATGCGGGCTCCAAGTCGCTCGGCTTCCTTCGGTCAATGTGGAAAATCTGCGTAGCATTCTGCACGATACGGTGGAGATTCACAGGGAGATAATGAGGGTTGCCTGGATCCGTTCGAGGGAAAATGAAGTGCCTCAGCAGCCGGCGGTCGTCGACTAGTTGGCGATATTCCTCGTCCAGCTTCGACTGCAACTCCAGGGAGCTATCATCGATTCCAACTTGAAGAACCCCAGGCAGGAAACCGCCTTGAGGGTCGGTTACATCAACACGATACTTATGCTCAAACACTCGATCGTTCAGCGCGAACGTCTCGATATTCTGTCGTTCGATAAAGGCACCATCCATACCATCTTCGCCGTATACGAATTGGATGAGATCGCCCAAGGAGTTCCTGACCGTTCCGTCGTAGCATACCATCACGTCTTCGAGCGCCTTGACCAGCCGCCGTTGAATATAACCCGTCTCCGCAGTCTTGACAGCCGTATCAATGAGACCCTCCCGTCCTGCCATAGCGTGGAAGAAGAACTCTTGGGGGGTCAGACCCCTCAAGTACGAATTCTCCACGAATCCACGCGCCTCCGGACTATAATCATCCTTTGTGAAGTGAGGAAGTGTCCTATGGCGGAAGCCGAAGGGGATTCGCCGGCCCTCCACACTCTGCTGCCCCACACATACCGACATCTGGGAGATATTGATGAACGAACCCTTCGAACCGGCGACCACCATCTGCTTAACATTGTTATCCTCCTTCAGACTTTTCTGAGCGTACTGCCCCGACTGGTCGCGGGCCAAGTTTAACTCTCGCTCGACTTGACTCTCGAAGGACTCGCGGATGGTCATACCCGGCGCCGCCTTCAGTCGGTCGTGAGTAGCGTCGTCAATCACTTTCGCGACGTTCGCTTTGCGCTCGGCTATCTTCTGGGTGATATTCGCCATGGTCTGCTTATCTGCAATCGTGTCGCCGATACCGATACTGAAACCATTGTGGAAGAGCCAGTAATTGACCACCATCTGCAGACCGGTGAAAAGCTGCCGAGTCGCTGTAGGGCCCTTCTCTCGGAACACCACATGAACTAGACCGCCGGACGTTGCGCCAACAGTCTTTTTGTCCACGATGCCAAAGATGATCTCCCCGTTTTCGATCATCATACCGTCATCGAATACGGGATTCGACGACTTCGGATCGGGCGAACGGTACATGTTGGTACCACGAGGTATTGTCATACTGAGGATTTGCTTCCCGGTCCATAGCGGCTTGGGCTTCAAAATAGCTGGAGTGGGGACGGTGCCATCCCACTCGGGAACCCACAGGAGTATATTTTGGACTTGCGTCCAGTCTAAAAACGTATCTCGGAGGGTGAATTTGCGGATACCGCAGAGTGTATCCTGGACAATCCCCATGACAGGTTTGTTGGCTTGGGGCGAGATGATCTGATAGCAAACAGTCGGCAAATATGTTCAAAGACGGTTTAAATACGTACTTGTCGCGGCACCCACGCAATTTGGCTAAGCTCTGCTCGAGTCTCCTCACTCTGGGGTATGCTGAAGGGAGCTCATCGTCGAGATCAAGCAGGAAAATGGCGTTACTTACTGCATGTTCATCTCGTCCCCGTCGAAGTCGGCGTTATACGGAGGAGTTCTACAGATAGTTAAGTGTGTAAACAAGATGCATTCCTCAATCAGACTTACACCGAGAGGTTCAGACGGAAAGCTACAGAAAGTTACTACGGAGCACTAGAGAAAAATTGAGCAGACTTACTGGAATACGGCATCAACTTCACGCGATGGCTCATCATACTCATCTTGTGCAAACTAGGCTGACGATTGAAGAGCACGAAGCTATAGGTAAATGCTGGTGAGCCACATGCCGCAGGCGCCATGATAATATACCTACTCTCCATCCTTCAGATGCCGTTCAACAATCCATCCGTATTGTAAGAACGCATCCGCACGCTTGTTATATCGAAGATCGATCCGCTCTCCTGTGTCTCTCACAACGTACCGGGCCCCGGGATACACCGTTGGACCATTACGAACCAACTCCTGGAGGTAGGCGATGTTATACGGCGTGACTGCGTCCAGACTGATGAGTGCACGAACGGCAGAGACCGGCAGCGAAACACTGACCTCGTTCAGGATAGGTCAGATTCATAGCTATACTTCGTGGTACACCGACTTCGTCCAACTCAAGGTTCGGATCCCCAGTAATGACCGTACGGGCAGAGAAATCGACACGTTTACCCATCAAGTTGCCACGCAGGCGGCCTTCTTTGCCCTTTAACCGTGCTCGAATCGCCTTTACAGGACGACCTGACTTCTGCAAGGCTTGAGGAATGCCAGCAATGTCATTGTCCATGTATGTCGCGACATGGAACTACGACAGGTCAGCTACGTCATTGTAACGACATCATCGTCCTACCTGCAATAGCTGCTCGAACTCTGTGATGACATGGGCGGGAGCACCTTCTTGCTCGCACCTGCGGACATTGGCGGACGCTTTGATGATTTCACCCAACTTGTAAGTTAAATCATCCTCGCTCCGCATGGTACCACCGTCAACGGCTATACTTGGCCGTACAGGCGGGGGCGGCACAGGCATGACGGTCAGAATCATCCACTCCGGCCTGGCGTATTCGTCCGAGAGCCCGAGCAGATTCAAGTCAGAATCTGACATCTTCTTGAAGGTCGTGTACACCTCGGATGCAGGAAAGAGCCTCTTATCGGGCTGCAGCGACTTCATATCCTATAGAGCAGTTGAAAATTAGTGTCTGTCTACGATAACGCGCAGCGCCCGAACGAACCTCATCTTCATCTTTGGACTTCTTGTATTGTAGGTACAATTTCAGGCCCTCTTTGCGGATTAAAGGTTGCTGATGACCGCATCCCCCGTGCCCCTTCTTGGGTTCGTCCGCCTCCCCAGCTTCGCCCTCTTCTTTAGGCTCGTCAGCCTCGCAAATCATCTTGCCTTTGCAATGGGACCACACAACAGCCATGCGAGCTTTAGGGTCGCGCACATGACGGATTTTGTCCGCAAAATTGGGGTCCGACTTCGTGCCAGCACATGTAATGCACGATCAGGAAAAAAGTTGTCGGTCGGACATGCAAGTTAAGATGTTAGCATATGAATATACTCGAGATAACGGTGTGGTATATCATAAGAATAGTAGTAAACAAGGGCGGCATTCGACATCGGCTCTTTAGTGCTGAGCAAACACAGACCCTCTGTGATGAATCCAGAGGTAACATATCTGCTCAAGCCCAATGCAAGCACACTGAGATTCGACACAGCTGACATGCGAGCATGGGTTCCACACTCCTCGCTCAGCCTCCCTTTTCACCGCACTCCGCGCGTCCAACCAATACCGGGCGTATGCAATGGTCAACGCGGCGATCAAGCGATCGAAAACGCGCGTCAACCCCGCCGCGGGTGGAAGAACGCCCCGCTGAAAGCAGGGAGCTACGCGGAGTGGGTTTGGGGTTCTCCAAAGCGGAGAGAGCCCCCAGAAAATTGGATGGTGGGGTGCGAAACGAGTCCGAGATCAGGAGACACCACTCACAATGTCAGCTTTCAGTCTCCCGCAATTCACGCATATACACTCCAGTATCTTTTTCACTTTCACAATAAAACCTGTTCCGATCCCTTAGACGACCCGGAAGAATATGCAGTAGAAGGGACGCTCACCAGGATGGAATACGGGCCTCGCCAACTCGATATGGCCAAAATGACCTGGACACTCTGACATCCCCTCACCGCACGTCTGACACTTAAAATTGCGGTCAATGGTGCCCATCCGCGGATCCATCAATCCACCCTGTTTGGGCTTGTGTGTGGTTTCATCCATCACCTCAGGATGTTCGATTTTCGCGACGGAGTATGCTTTCTGTCATACAGTCAGGAGCATGGATCACTGTGTGGGCTGAAGTACTCACTATCTCTTCGGGAGAGAGAATGCCAAACTGCACCTCCTTCACCTTGCGGATGGGAGCCGCCGAAAAAGCAAACTGGTGGCCTAGCATGATTGCAATACCAGAGCTTCAAGGAAAAGGGTGGAAGCGAGGAAGCGACTAATAAGGAGTAGAAAATAGGGCAAGAAAGTCCGCAAGCAGGATTAAATTACGCAAAACCAGAGGAGGAGGTATGTCGTTGATATTTTCTCGAGCGCTCAGAAGTAGCCCCACGATTCAGCCAGCCACGCAAGCAACGAGAAATTTGACCAGACAAGGGTACGCCGCGACCGAGAACAAGCCCGAGACAGCCAGCAAGCAGAGTACGAAATGTGTGCGTGTCTTCCGCGAAGATCTATGCAGAAACCGAGGAAGACGACGACAACGACGAGGCGGTCGTTGAACAAGGAGTGGCCTTGTTTGACTCCCGCGGGCCCGCATTGTTTGGTTCGGAGTCTGAAACGCGCCTGCTTACGGACGCTGACGCGCAGCTACTAGTACTACAGCTCCTCACTGTTCTCCAGTTTCTTCGAGTTACAGCTCGACATCCTCGTTAGTATATTCAGCAGTTGGGACGTATAGAGTGCAGGCATGTCGGGTCTTACAAGTTGGCTCTGGGGGACGTCGCAGGTAGACGAGGCTGTTGGTACGCCTGCGGTTTCTCAGGCTTGCCGTGCGTAGCAGCTAACCTCGGTTCGTTCGCATCCAATAGACAAGGCGACCTCAGAGTTGCTCCCTACGGGCTCGGAAGACATTGCTCTCAATCTCGAAATATGCGATCAAATAAGGTCAAAGTCCGTACAGCCTAAGGATGCCATGAAGGCTCTCAAGAGGCGTCTGAATCATAAGAATCCGAATGTACAGCTCTTGGCTCTCGGGGTCAGCGTATTTGCACCTTCACATTCATTCGCGGTTTACTGATGTCTAGGTTAGTTGACGGACGTGTGTATCAAGAATGGGGGTGATCACTTTCTCGTGGAGATAGCCTCCAGAGAGTTCATGGACAACCTCGTGTCGATCCTGAAGATGCCTGCACTGAACCACGAGGTCAAGAATATGATCCTCCGCTTAATACAGAACTGGTCGATTGCATTCGAGGGTAGGCCCGCTCTCAGCTACGTCGGACAGGTATACAAGGATCTACAACGTGAAGGTGCGTCTCAGATAGTTCGTGGACTTGCCGGCACTAAACGTATCCAGGATTCAACTTCCCGCCCAAGGACCCGGCAGTAACCACCTCAGCGATCATCGATACGCAGACCGCGCCCGAATGGATTGATTCAGACGTCTGTCTTCGATGTCGGACGCCTTTCTCATTCACTAATCGTAAACACCATTGCCGCAACTGTGGTCAAGTCTTTGACCAAGCATGTTCCTCGAAGACGATGCCTCTTCCTCACTTCGGGATAACACAGGAGGTGAGGGTTTGCGATGGATGCTACAACAAGTTGCAGAAGAACCGAGATAGGCCGTAAGCCCCGTTTCTCCATTCCGTTCATCTCAGTCGTTCTGATTTCTCTGCAGAGCGGACAGCAAAACCCATCGCCATTCCTCGTCTCGCCACAGGAGCACTCGGGAGTTCGAGGACGCGGAGTTACAGCGTGCAATCCAACTCTCGTTGCAGGAAGTCGGAGCTGCGGGTGGACACCGACCGGGATATGTGCCTTCACAACCTTCTGGGCCGGCATGGCAGCCATCTTCGCCTCCTTTGGTGGAAAGGCCCGGAACCTCGGCATCCAAGGTCGCAGACGAGGATGATGATCTTGATCTCAAGGCTGCTATCGAAGCGAGCCTGCGAGAAGCTCAAGCCCCCAAACCGAGCGCGCCGGTAGTAGTTTCGGAGCCTCTCACTCCTTCATACGAATACACCACCTCCTGTGCTTCTACTTCTACGTCACGACCCGCCTACGAACCTCTGCCAAATTACGACCTTGAGCCTTTGGAATCTGATGCAATACTTACTTTCAACCAAACTATGGAGCAGGTACAAACTCATGGGGGCGGTCGTGATATATCTCGATTCCCGGCTGTGAACGGACTCTACGAGAAGGCTAGCGGGTTAAGGCCGAAACTGGTTCAGAGCCTCGATGACACAGTCAAACGAGAACGTAGGTGATATTCGTTTCGGATGATTTCTATCTTGATCTGAATATGAAACGAAGAAATGCTAACGGAGATGCACGAGAAATTGTCGGAGGCCGTCAAGTTATACGACCAGGTCCTCACTCAGCAAGTCTCTCATCCACCATGGCGAGCATCGCCGGCCGCGGTACCCACCCAGGCAACGCCTGTATCTGTACCTTACGTTCAGGCAACTCCCACGGGTCCCACGGAATCTTATGGTCAATGGCGGGCCTCCCAACAGGCCCAGCCGATGTCCCCGGTATATCAGCAGGCACCCCAATTGACATACACCCCAGCAGTACCAGCTGGATACGAAGCTCCTAGCAAGTCGTACGCGCCTCCCGCTGCTTGGGGACAGTCCACGCCAGCATCTGCTATGTGTCCGCCCCCCATTTCTGCTCCGCAACTTGCTCAGGCTCCGCCCGAAGCAAGCGGCCAGCAGCAGTGGCAGCAGTACGATCCACGAGTGCAGCAACCACCGGCTCAGCATCAACAATACGCCCCTCCAGAGCCGAATGGCATGCCTGCCTATGGTCAGAATATTCCTTCCTCCTCTGAACCATCTGCTCCATCGTTCGACCTCACACCGAAGCCTTCTCCCATGGCCCTCCCTCAGTCACCACCTCCGCAGGCCCAATCACCCTTCACTGTCAGATCGCCGCCGCCTCCGTCTTCTGTCTACTCTCAATCACCACCTGCACCGTCACTATCACGGCATAATACTTTTGCTGCCTCCACTGTACCACCACTTCCTCCGACCATGAACTCATCAGTTTCACGACACCATACGGTACACTCGCAATCGTTTGCTCCACAGATGCCTCAGCAGCAGTATCAACAGCACCAGCACCATGCATCCCTCCCGAGCTTCCCTGTCGCTCCGACTGCACCGCCCGCTATGCCGTCGTACGGCCCTCCAATTCCGGCTGGCTTAGAGCAGGAGGAGAGGAAGGAGGCACTGTTGATTGATTTATGAGTCTGAGGATTTACCTTCTTTTGTCCGCACCTGTGTCTTGCATGTACGTAGTCTTATTATGCGACAATCATCGTTTTACATGCGTTACGAGATGTACATGGTATGGTTCGTTGTCTATTGCTCGCTGACGCGAATCATTGCCCCATCGCTGTATCTTCAGTTTCTGACATTTTACTTACGTAGCAACCCAAAGAAGGATTCCATATGTATTCGTGGTTCAAGACACCACTCAGGATCTGGTAAGCCCGTGCATCAGCATACGGAACGCCTGTCCTTGGGTCGAGATACGGTGCAGATAGCCCTGTGATTGGACACTTCATTACAGGTCGGCCTGTGCAGGCAGTCGGTCAAGTAAATACCGTAAGTGAGACGTGTAAGCTCGAAGAACTGCGAACGCACTCAGTGGTCGCCCCTTCCCGACGAATACTTTCACGTCATCCCAGTCAACATGATCACCGAACATGGCTTCCATGGTCTCCCGCCAGGTAGGCCTAGCAGCATCCTCAGACTGGTCTATCTCCTGGATAACATAATTCTTCGTGACTTTCTCCACTTTCTCAATCACGGGGAGCGGCTGCGGGGGTTGGTATGGAACATAGTAGTTTTGCGGGTAACCGGGTGGTACTGCTGGGTATAGGGCTGGCTGCTGGCTGCTCAGTCCTGAAGACGGGCCTGCTTGGGGTTGATTCGGGAGAGGAGGCGGCCACGTCTGCCACGACCCGCCGCTCGGTGGATTATAGGGATACTGGGCCGCCGTCGACGTGCTTGCATCCGACGGCATAGCGTAGTAGTACACTGACGCAGGAGGCGGTGGAGGCGCAGGCTGGGGCACCTCGACTTTGACCTCCTCGCCTTTGCTGATCCAGCGAAGCAAGGGTCCCTGTATCGATGCGCGAACCACTCGCGCGCGTTTGCGTTTCTCCTCTTCCCGCGAGAGGTATTCGCGGTGCTCGGTGACGTTACCTTCTTCCATGTCCAGCGCGCGGGCGATGAGCTCATCCTGTGTATATGCACGTACTTGGACTTTGGCTTTCTTTGTGATGGATGCCTATGTAGAGCAGGGGTTCGAGCTACTAGTTTAGCCGCACTGGACGGAGCGGTTACGCACCCTCTTTTCTTCGGCGTCCTTGATGCGGTTGGCAGTGACCGTGCGATTGAGCATTGTGTGGGTCCTCGAGCTCCTCCGCTGGGCACTGTCCATTACTTCACCTGTCTCGGCGTCTACTGCTAAGCCCAGGGACACCCGCCTCTTCGGCTTAAGGGTCTTCGATTCATTTGTACCAGCATTGGATGCCTGCAGTTGCGGATTGAACGTCACTCTTTGGCGGGCGTTCGCGTTCGCAACGGCTCTATCCACTCGGGTCCGGGCTGCCTATCCCTTTCCATGACTGGTGGAAACCTTCCTTGTACGAAAGAAACACTACCTTTCGTTCGCGTCTGTCTTCGTCTTGGACCGCTTTCTCCACAGCTTCCGGGGCCTCTTGGGCAGCTTCTTCATCTGTGCTTTCGAAGTCGGACTCAAATACATCATCCTCATCTTATAGTGCCTTGAAATCAGAAATTTATCTATTACAATACTAGAGGACGACGTATCTACCCTTCTTTAACTCGAAGTCTTTATCTTCCTCTGCTTCCTGAGGCTCGTCCGCGGCTATCTCAGCCAAGGCGGCTTCCATGCTAACACCATTATCTTTCAGTAAGGAACGAGTCAACGGACGTTCACTGTAAGCCTAACCGGTTTCCCGCCGTGCTCCTGCGGGAGCGGCGCCGCACCAAGGAGTCATCCTCGTCTGCCATAGTCGTCCAGTTCAGAGACGAGATACGAAGACGCGTGACCGACCGCGTCCTGCGATCCAAGCGTGACCTGTGACGAATATTTCCCGCCGACGGGACTTAGTTTGCCTCCCGAGTCCTCGTCTGCGTCCATGCCTCGCAAACCCAAAACCATTCCCGGGCCTTCGCGCCTCTCCAAGATCCTCGAGCAGCTGCGCAAGCCTCCCGTACCCGCTCTTGCCAATGTTCGCGGTCTAACGCTCACCTACGCCCTGCGGAATGACGACTTTGGCGCTCGGTACGTCGCTGGCAGCTGCTTTCCCGTTCATTTGTTCACGCTGGGCTCATCGAAGCTTTGATATGATCACTTCGTCGCATGTGTGAATGGTGCCCCTGAAAATGCAGCCATTTCGTAAAGGAGAGCTTGCCTCGAATACGTTATGCTAACCCGGCCATGGACATCAAGGTCAACAAGTTGCCCAAGGGACCGGAGGACAAGTGGGAACCGACAATGGAGCTCCAACTTCGTGAGTATCATGTGTCTGCCCTGGCAAGGTGGCGTAATCCTTATGCATGCGTTACGCCAGGAGGCGGCCAGACCAAGACGCTGAACCTCGCAGGCAAATGGTCAACGTCCATCTTCGAAGAGTTGATGAACACCGCCGGCGGAGAGTCTTGGGAAGAGTGGAAGAAGGAGAGACAGGCAAAGGGTCTGCCTATCATCGAGGGCTTGGAGGCTGCTAAGTTCCAGGAGAAGATGCGCGAGCAGAGGTTATCTGAGCAACCGACGAGGCCGAGGAAGGCCAAGTCAGAGGAGGTGGACCCCCTTGCGAATTTGCAGACCAAGACGGGTGCGGCGGCTATCTTACCTTGAATTGCAGTTTGTTACTATATCATTTTCTAATGCTCCTAAGGACGGTGATACAAAAACACCTTTATGTCCGGCGTACACTAACTGCTCAGCCAAGTAGCAACCCATACAATCATCCCCAGCCCAAATATTAGAGCAGCGAGATCATCCAGAAATGCGCCCCCTATCTGCATATATTTCATCCCAGTAAGTATCACTGAGGGTAGCGGCTTAGGCAGCTGCGGTAGTGCCAAAGATAACAGCATTGGTGGCTGGATAGTGTCCTACATCACCCAACAAGTCAATACCCTACTCAGCTTGATTGTGTCGATTGCCCTTACCAAACCAGAAAATACTCGATACGAGTGCAGCACAACCTGCAATGTTGTGAATGCCCAGAAGAACGGCACGAATTGTACGGCTGCAGATCCCACTTTCGCGTTCCTCCAGGCCAGATCCGCCCAGCGCTGCCATAGGTTCCCCGAGACAGCAGAGGCAGTGGGTTGTGTCATATACGCGCCAGGCTCTTTCCAGAACACATAGTACGCGAGCAGGAACCACGTAGCGAGGACGTGAATGAGAGGCATGAATTTCTTGAGCCTTGACTGTGGTTTGGGCGGCGCCTGCGGAGGGGGCTGGAATGCAGCGCCGGGCATGGCGAACGGATTGGGGACAGCACCCTGCCCACCTGCTTGCGGGTTCATTTGCGTTAGGGCAGACATCATGGCTGCTAGCGGGTCCTCAGGTTGAGCGGCAGAACTGCCTGGTGAGGCTATGGACGGTGGTGGTCGGGACTGGTTGGAAGGATCCATAGATCCAAGGCCAGCACCCATGAGTGCCTGCATAAATTGCATTTGCTGCTCCTGGGACCATACTGAAGGGTCTGACGGCGGACTGGACGCGGAGGAAGACGGCGTGCGGTGGGACGCGGCGGGTCTTGAACTCGGAATCGGCGGCGGGAGATTTGAGTCCTCGCCGACAAAGTTTCTGAGGTTGTCAGTCGGGTTCAGTAACGATTTCTCTGCATCGCAAGTTGTACTTCAGCCGGACATAGCGTACTGAGGATAACGTACCTTCAGGCCTGTATACAGGCGAATCCTCCCCCCTCGCCGTGGTCGTAAGTTTCGCGAGACGGTCGGTACCCCGCTCACTCAGAGCCTTCCTCCGCGCTGCAGCCCTTGCTGCTGCAGTAGACATTACTGGTCGTCGTGAAAGCGAGGCGTGAACCAAGTGTACTTTGTACGCTTGTCGGAAGGTCGTCGGGGCAAGCCACGACGCGCCTCGTCAGTGGTGGCGCGAATAACGCGTGCAGCACTTTCGCACACTTATTACATACGTTCCGTGCCTTCATCCTCCTGCTTTCTATCGATTGCTATCATGTCGCGCCAGGACAAGGCGACCACCGAGAGACACGCTAGAACGCTCCGCGAGCTCCTGAAGCGTCCCGAAAACAAAGTCTGTGCTGACTGCAAGCGGAACGGTGAGATGTTGGTCCAGGGGATGCGCGAACTTTGCTGACGGTCCTCAGATCCTCGCTGGGCTTCATGGAATATGTGCGTTCTGTCAGGCAGTCATAGCCGCTGGATATGAACTGACTAGAGTCCCATGCTAGTGGCGTCTTCCTGTGCATTAGATGCTCGGGTATCCATCGATCCATGGGCACGCATATCTCGAGGGTGAAGTCCGTCGACCTGGACATATGGACCCCCGAGCAAATGGCCGTGAGTCATGTTTACTGTATTGCAGAGTCCAGCCGCTAAGTGCTTCCCCTCTAGTCCGTACAAAAATGGGGAAATCGCCGAGCCAATGCATACTGGGAAGCCCATCTCAAGGCAGGACATGTTCCCCCCGATCAGTATGTCCCCGACCAGTCGCAATGGCTACTCCACTGACTTGCATCATTTTTAGTAAAATAGAGTCCTTCATCCGCTCAAAGTACGAAACGCGCCGATGGGCCATGGATGGGCCTCTACCCGCTGATCCCTCCGTCCTCGATAACGGCGCAGAAGTTGCACCTGCTGCCCCAGCATCACCGCCCCCAGCCATGTCCGCGCCATCCCACTCTTCCCGACCTAGCGTTGTACAGGGCGTATCGACCCGACAACCGGCTCCCCCCGTCACGACGCGACAACCTCAGCCGCACCAACTCCTATCCACGACTGTCCAGCAAAGCAAGGCTGCGGCTGCCCAGGTTCAAGCCCCATCACATCAGCAGACTCCTGCTCCGGCTCCCGCTCCAGCGCCTGAGAACGACCTCTTCTCTCTCGATTTCCACTCCCCACCGACACCCTCTAACAACAGCATGTCCCCAACCAGTACTTCCGCTCCTAAGAAAGACGTGAAGCAAGATATCCTGTCTCTATTCTCTGCACCTTCACCTGTTGCCGCGACACCCGTGGCACAGCCGGGCTTTGGCACATTCGGTGTAGCACCTGCGGCTGCTTCGCCCTGGGGCCAGCCTCAAGCCCAGCCGACTCATGCACATACCCAGTCCCAGAGTAGTGTCAGTATGATGGGTACCAACGGCGCCGGGATGTGGGGAGCCAGTTCAGGATGGAGCGCACCCGTCCCCCCGGCTCAGGGTAACTTGTGGTCTAACCCTGCAAGCCAGCCCGCACCAGCAGCTCAGCAAGATTCGTTGTTTGCCATGAATGATGTCTGGAGCTCATCGGCGGCTACTACGGCTCCTGCTGCTGCGAGCAACGATCTCTTTGGCTCGCCGTTCTCGACTACCGCGCCTGCTCAGACTCAGAAGAAGGACGATGTTTTCGGGGACTTGTGGGGCGATTTCAAGTAGGCGAGCAGTAATGATACAGGTACATGATCGACTTCGGTTTGGATTGCAACGTAGATAGGATCTTCCACTTGACACACCTCGCATTATGATACAATACGAACGTCCTGAGCGTTCATGAGGGGAACACATCACAAGGCTTATGCAAGTTCGAGGTCCTATTTCAGGAGGTTCGTTAGCAACCTTGGCATGGCGGTGGATCTTACGCCTCACCTTCGCAATCATTTTACTCGCTAGCGGATGGAACCCATCCTTCGACCTTGCAAACGCGTCCCTAGCCAACTTCTTGTCCACTTTGTACACCGCCTTGTATGTGGGTCTGCAGAACTTCATCCGTCCCTTGATGACCCCGGTCCCGTCCTCACCGTTGACCCACTTGATAGCCGTCTCTGCCCACTCCTTTGCAGCGGCCGATGACGGGTCAAGGAGGGCAACTCCGTAGAATCGGTATCGGATTTCTGCATTGCCTGACGTAGCCAGGCCATACAACTTGCCCAGATGAGCAACATGAGAAGCAGGAAGGGCCGGGTAAGATTGCAGGGTATCAAGGAACAGCACTGTAGCGAGTTACGACATTAGGCTACGAGCTACCTAGGACAGAATGCCGCACCTTTCTGGTTTGAGCTGAACGACTCTATGTCACTCTCTTGGAAGTCGAGGTCTGCTACGTCCTTCACAGAACGCGCCGAGTTCCAGCGTTCGGCCAGAGCGTAAACTCGTTTGGCTAGGGTGGTGTCGTACTCGATTTGTTCAGGGAGAGTAAGACCTTCTCCGTATAGCCATGCCTAGGGAGGTTCAGTCAAAACCGAAGGGAGAGGAAAGCAATAGCCGTACATTCCAGTCCACGCTATCCAATGCTTTTATTTTATCGTCCGCGCCGCGCTTTCGGAAGTAATCGTACAGATGAGCCTTCCATTGATCGCTGGTTATACTCTGACCCTTGAAAGTGTTTACGTAGTCGCTCGCGTAGGGTAAGAAAACGTCGAGGCCACCCAATGTTCTCTCTAAAGCGGTTACAGTCAGTATAGCCATACCCTTCCGCATAGCTAACAATGACGTGCCAAGGTACAGGAGGAAATTTGAACCCTTTTCATAGGGAACTGTGCTGTAGGCATCGTCTGGGTCCTCGCCAACTTCGAGTTCGATGACAAGGCGCTGGTACTTCGGCGTATCCTGGTTTTCTCTCAGCGCGTCACGCAGGGCTTTCGACCCGATGAGGTAGGAGAAACCGCGCTCTGCCTCCGAGTGTAATTTTCCTAGGAGGACCCGCTCCATGTACGTCGTCCATCCCTCGTTCAACCAATAGTGCCATGAGTGTGCACTAGGGGGATGAAGTACGGCATTAGAAACACTCCAAACCGCTGGAGGAATTCTACGCACGTCACAAGGTTCCCGAACCAAGAGTGGGTCAATTCGTGGACGACGACGTCGACGAGAGACCGGTCACCCGCGAGAAGAGCTAAAAAAAGTAACGTCTGTAATCTTACGCATGACAACATACGGTAAGCACTCACTAGGCGTCAGGAATGTCAAACAGGCATTCTCCTGCAGAGAGTGTTAAATACACGATGCGGGTAAGAGCGCACGCTTACCATGCCTCCGAGGGGGAACGAGGGAGGAAGTACCAGAACGTCGTAGACACTGAACAGATACGGCGCGATGACGCTCTCCTCTGTCGCCAAATATCTACTTACGACTGAGCAAATGAAGACAGGAGGATTAGACAAGCCCATTACCTGGTGGTATCCTCCTTGAACTCCCAGTATGCGGCGTCCAGCGTTTCAGGCTCTGCCCAAAGACCACTCTTCCACGTTTTACCTTCCGGCACCTGGAACGCCCGGTAATGGATATTACCACTCGCTATGGCGAGCAGATAGGATGGTATGGAAACGGGCTTCAGGAGACGTGTTGAACACCAAATGCTGACGTAGGGATCTGCGATAGCTTACCTGCTTATATACATATGTTACTACGTCCTTGCCTATGACTTTTCCGTCATGAGGGGGACCTTCTGCTGGGGGAGAGACACGGATCGCGGACATGAGAGCCGGGAGGACGGACGAAACCTGTGCTTCGTAGGTCTACCATGCGTGAATAGGATGAGCGTGGATTGAGTAGGCTAGCTGGGGCCCACGCACAATCTTTAGGGATGGCGTGTCTATTCACGTCAGATACTATTGGTGAAGACATTGCAGTCGACCTACCTTGTAACGGAGCGACGGCGCGAGCTAAGATAGCTTGGCATTGGCTAAAGAGGTAGGGGAACTTTTTCCCTTGTGTCTGCCTTCAGCCATGAATTATGTCAGCTTTGTACGAGAAGAAAAGGAGCTTCTGGTGTACCCCTTCTCGAGCCATTGCAGGGCCGTGCCGCCAGACCCCGTTTCGTATGTAATCTTGGCAGAGACAGTAGACCCAGACTTAAGTCCCGATGGGAGGGGTAAGCTCAGAGCTGAGCCTAGCACTCCATGCTTCTCCCCTAGATCATACTAGGCAAGCTTCAGAACTCAGATCCCCCTGCATTCCTGGCATACCAACCGAAACGGACTTCCCCTCCACCTCGGCGGTCTTGATCGCCAAATCAAAAGTATCAAAGCTGGACGCAGTCCCTCAGTATCACAACCCGTTGTTCGTGGTATGGGTACCTACATGACCTCCTTAACGCCGTCCTCCTTTATCCTCAGGGTATGCGTGGCTGATCCGACGATCTTCTTCGCATCCCAGTCGATCGTCCAGACAAACGCGACGTGCTCGGTCGCGACCTGGAAGTAGTTAGATTGGGTGCTTGTGTCCGGGAGCTGGGCCATCGTAGCGGTTGTAATATCTTCAGCACCGCAGCGGTAACGGGACTCTGAATCCCGATAGGAGCAGAAGCGCGAAGGCAGCTCTCGGACGAGATCATAGCGGCTATTTATAGCACCATCATCGATCGAAGTTGCGTATGCACACTTGGTCGTGTACACAAAGAAAAGTAGTAGATACAGAGATTATGGAGACAGAGGTATAGATACGAGTCCGTTGCAATGCTCAGGCTACAAGGAGGGTCGACCAAGAAGGAAGGAATAATACAACCATGTACAGTATAGACAGCACGGTGAAATCGTGGGGGTTCGTCGAACGAATGGCCATCACAAGACAAAGAACGTATTCATGAATTCGTGGAGGGCATCCAGATGCTGTACAAAGCCAAGTTGTCAGTAAAGCGATGGAAGACATATGCTGCGGGGAACGTACCCAAATCGTTATGCACGGCGCATCCTGGTCTTCACAGGCGACTCTCGGCGCGACGGCGGCGGCGAACGCAAATAAGGGTCCTGGTAAGGTCGTAACGGGCGTGGGTGGTACACCTCATGATCCGACGGCGACGGCGCGTACTCGCGCTTACGCTTCCGCGACGGCTCCTCGCTCTCATCAACCTCCTCCGGCTCACGGATGTTGGGTAGCTGTCGGTGCGCGATCCGTGGCGCCTGGGGCGTATCAAGGGGGTGCGGAGACATCACCCTGGACGGTGTGCGCGAGCGGGGCCGCTCAACCATGAGGTTGAACTCCCTGACATAGGCGCGGTCCGCCGCATCTCTGCGCTCGGTCCGGTGGCGCATTGCGGCCAGGTCCCGGTGGTAATGCGTGGCCTGCGCTTCGTCGAGGGCGTCAGGGTACGGTCGGTACGTCTCCTCGTACGTGGTCTGGGAGAACTTGCGCACGTAGGGTTGGGATGCATAGTTGGGGTACCATTGGCCCCGGTACCAGGTCCCTCGCTGCTCATGAGCGGGGTCGTTCTGAGGCCATGCTTCTGGCTGGCGGGGAGTATAATGTCTAGAGAAGGAGATGGTAAGCCACAAGCTGCTGCACCGACCAACGCAGTACCCACCCTTCTTTCACGGGCGAGGTGTATATGTACTCCACCTCTACCACCGGCTTAGGTTGCGCTACACATGCACCCCAGTTCAGATTGACGGCCTTGCGGGTATCTATTGACAGGCCCTTCCGTTTCGCAAGCTCCCATGCCGTACCCTTGCGTACCAGCTGGCTGCTGTTCTTGCGGCAGACGTATTTATGCCAGGCGTTGGTGTAGCGGTTGATCCAGAGGATGTGCTGCAGGCGCCACTGCCTGTATTCCTCGTACCCTTCCGCGACGGAGAACTTCCTTTCGTATCGCGCTGAGGCTGGCATTATGGATTACGAGTAGACAGTATAGCAGAAAGGCAGATAGATTAGTCGGCAGTGTGTCACTGGCAGGGTCGTCTATGGTATCGTGCAGACCAGGAACTCTAATAGATAGCAGACGAAAACGCGTCCTGCGCGGATGGGGAGAGGCTCAGATGGTGAGTGGGGGGTCGAGTGGAACCGGTCGGAGTTATAAGCAGAGGCCCTTTGTCCTGTTATATGGCGCCTGGGCAGGAGGCCCATAGCACCGTGACATCTCGCCGAGCGCGCAGAAAACAAAAACATGGGTTACCTCAGAAGGGTGCCTTTATTGTAGGGCGCGAGCCATGCCAGTGCGAAGGACGGAAGACAGTCGCTTGTGCGCCACACAGGATGATAGCTCACACTCTTATGGGTCCCGTAGCCCGGTCGAGGACAAGAGCGATTACGACGCGGTGGTATGCGCATCAAATCGACTGGTCTGCTCGTACGCAGCTCGGCTGCCTGCAGCGCGGGTTCCTGAGGTTGCTACAGCGCACAACGCGCCGAACGACGTGCCGTTAGGGCTGCTCAATTCTTAACTACCTCCCGTCGTTCGTTCGTTCGTTCAATCCGTCGTGCTAAAAATAATGAGAAAGAAGAGATGGCCGAGCCACGCCGGTGGCAAGCTGGGAGAGACAAATCACATGGACGTGGTCTCGAATCATCAGCCATCACTTCTTTCTCGCTCTTTTGGGCGCGATTGAACGAACGACGGCTTGAACGACGGGAGCCAGTTGAGAATTGAGCAGCCCTCTTGTACTTTTGTCAAGCAAGCTCTGGCGGTGAAACATTCGGCTTCTGCCGGAGAGTGATCGTACCAAAGCACGTGATTTTGATCACCAGGAACGTGACCCGCGATCGTAAATTTGGGAACCGTGGTCAGAATTCAAACAAGTTAAGGATCAATGCCGACGCCTCGTCTGGCAGAAAAGATAGGTATGTTAGTCTGTTATGCTACTTACAACGAGACTTGACGCGCGATGCAGGGTCGCTGCTGTTTTGCCCTGACTGCGGGACCTTGCTTAACCTGCCCCGCGATGATGAGGTCGTGGTGAACTGCGAGCAATGCGGACATGAAGAACCCGCCAGCTGTGAGTGGGTTTGATGGCCCGCAGAACAAGGCTGACCGCTGTCCAGCATACGAGAACATCGTCATCACTACTCGGTCACATCCTGATGCGTTCCCGTCTGCGCTGAGACAGAAGGGGAAGACGCAGACCAAAGTGCACCAGGGGGACGAAGCCTTGCTTAAGGTACGTCCTGTCTACGTCCCGGGGTTAGCAGGAGACTAAAGGGTTCGTCAGGTTACGGAGAAGTGCCCCGAGTGCGGACACATGGAGGCGTATTCCAAGGAGATGCAGGTGCGAATTCCGGCAGGTATAAACTCATGTTCCGAAACGCTCATAATCCCAATTACTAGCTGAGAAGCGCCGACGAAGGATCTACAATCTTGTACACGGTACGATCCCGTCCACGCTCTCCCATTGCACACAGGCTAACACAGACTAGTGCGTGAACTGCAAGCACGGCTGGCGTGTCAACAACTGAGCAGGCCGCTTCGGAGTTGTATGGGCGCTCGTCAGGGCATTCGCATGGCCGGCACGCCGGCGCTTGCGCCATTTTGGAGGGTACAATAACAGCGACTCGTTGCAAGGCTACACGTAAACGCCTACGCTGTTGAAAAGCGCGACTACGCCGAAACCGCCGAGGACGCTGGCAAGCGAGGCAATGAGGGTCTCTTGGACAGGGACAGTCGTTTTAGGGAGTCTGTAGGATACGTGGCATTAGCGTAGTGACTGCGGATAAGAGTATGGACACGTACGTCGAGAAATAGAAAGCGAGTGCAAACGTGCCGCCTAGCAGAACGAACGCGATATACGGAAGCAGCCCGACGGGGACATAGGGCGAGAACGCGGGCGCCGACTTGTGCAGCGCCTAGCAGAACGTCAGACAATCCCAAGGACGGCAGCAGATGACATGCAAACCTGAATCGCGGAGTAGTCTGCCATTGGGAGGAGTGCAGGAGAGGAGTGGCAGAGGCCCGTAACGGCTGCGGGGCGCTTAGCTGACGTAGGCAGGCCCCAAACACGTGTAAACTCTGCCATATCAACCCGCCCCTCTGCGCTCTCTCCTCTGTCTCTTCCTCCCGCACGACCACCAGCCCTTGTCTCATAGCACACAAAGTTTCTGCAAAGGTTTGTGGGCGACGTTTGACACGACAGACTAGTCAGATGCGAATTACTGACCCTCTTTTTCGCTTGCGTCTCGCCACGTATGCGCCCGTAGATGTCCGCTGCCGACAAAGTCCAACAGCACCCCGCCTTCCAGCAGGCCCAAAATAAAGTTAGCTACTATGTGTCCCAGCTTGACAAGGAGGTGAGCGACTGTTGCGCAGAATGTGTCGTCGGGCGAGTCTGACGCCCTTTTGCGTCAGCTCACGAAATATCCCGCTCTGAACACGTTCGAGCAACGCACCCAAGTCCCCAAGACCTACGCCTTCCTCGGCGCCGTAGGCATCATCGGTCTCTTCCACATGTTCAACGCTCTTGCGTCGCCCACCTCTAACCTCGTCGGCTGGGCCCTCCCCGCCTACTTCTCCTTCCGCGCGCTCGAGAGCCCCGGCCCCCAGGACGACACCCAGTGGCTTACGTACTGGGTCGTCTTCGGCTTCTTCAACTTCCTGGAGAGCTTTGCCCTCCGCATCGTTCTCTACTACTTCCCCTGGTATTTCACCTTCAAGACTCTGTTCACTCTCTGGCTACAGCTCCCTGCCTTCCGCGTGAGTCGTCATTCTGACGTCATCGCACCCCTGTGTATGCTTAACATTTCTTCACTCACTAGGGCGCTCAAACCGTGTACCACACCGTCTTGAAGCCCGCTTTCGCCAATGTCAGCTCGCGCGCTGTTTCTGCGACTACCAACTCACAGCCCGAGACCACAGGCTACACGGCGGAGTAAATGAACGTCGTCTCTACCTTTCTCTGGCGTTGGTTCGTTGAATCCAGTCGTCACCCTTCCGTTTCCTGGTGACGATTGGTGGGTGTCAAATAGACCTTGTTTGGACCGAATGCTCTGTTTCTTTTCTCCCTCTCATGAAGCGCTTGAAACATACTCGCGAACTTGCCCTTTCCCCGCTGTCTTCTTATTATTTGTATATTCTAAGAACGATCTGCGATGACTCTAACGAGCTGATAATATATGCCAGTACTCTGCACGTCATGGAGTGAAAATGAGGGTGACTGTTGCCCGTTGCAAGTCGACACAGGCTCCTGGGCCGCCTGGGACAGCCTAGGAAGAGCGAGAAGAGCCAATCGTGGATGGCCCATAATTGAAAACTTCCTGAGTTCTCTATATCGGGAGCAAGTCGGGGATGCATGATCCGTCGCCATTCAGTAGGCGGTGATGGTGGCGTCACGGAGAAAAAATCCATCGGTCAAGGAGATAACACAAGTGCGCGGCATACAGCTTCAAGCTTGTCAGGCTTCAAGAGCGGCTCAGCTTTGGAGGAGGTCGTCAGGTCGGGGGCTTGAGCAACGTCGGACCATCAAACGATTGGCCGTCGGTGTCTGTTGCGGTGGTCAAGCGACGCATTTAAACGCTAGATGATCAGGCACGCCCTCGCGTAGGGCCCTTCTGCGAAGCTCGAGGAAGGTCGACAGAGGGCAGTGGAGAATCAGCAGCGAGCCGCTCGTGACCGCAGGGCGCCTTGTTGACGAAAAATAATTTCGAGGCAGGGTCCCCTGAAGCATGCAGCCATCTGCCGTCCGAGTCAGCTGAAGGCTGTGCGGGATTCAGACAAACAGCGCACTAGCGTTGTCGCCCTCGGTTTGCGGGTATCGTTGGGCTGTAGAACGGCGTCCAGGAGGACCGAGACATGAACAAAAAATAACAAGTAAGTTGGACGCGGTATCAAGGCAGCAGAGCGCACGCGAGGCCGAAATGATGGGCGATAAGTGAAACGGGACTTGCCCAGGACCGTATCGCTTCGCTCGCTTATAATGTCAACTCTCCTTCACTCCTCCCTCTTTTGACACCCGCCCCCAGCCTCTGCGCTACCACCGTCGCTCGCTCCCCTCGTCGACGCCGACCATGTCTGAGGGCGCGCAGGAAAAGGTCTTCGTGGGCAGCGAGGATGGCAGCTCCCACCAAGAGCCTCTCTACCGGCGGCCCACGGGCCTCAAGGGCCTGTACTACAACTCGTACACGCAGGTCGCCATGCTCGGTTTCGTCTGTTTCATGTGTCCCGGTCTTTTCAACTCTCTGAACGGTCTCGGAGGGGGCGGTCAGATCGATCCTACCACCAGCGCGAATGCCAATTCTGCCCTGTACGCGACCTTTGCCGTCTGCGCGTTCTTCGCTGGGTACGTGATTGTCTTGTGCTTTTGCGATTGAACGACCCACACGTTCGTAGATCCATTAACAACGTGATCGGCCCTCGGCTTACGCTCCTCATTGGAAGCGGCGGCTACGCGCTCTACATTGGGTCTTACCTGTGAGTATATGCGCGTTTTTCTTGCTCGGCGTGTGCCAACTCTGCACCAGTGCTTTGAATATCCATCCCGGTGCAAAGGCCTTCGTGATCGCCGCAGGAGCTGTACTTGGCCTCTGCGCCGGACTGCTGTGGACAGCCCAAGGTTCTCTCATGTTAGCGTACCCAACCGAGGCGCAGAAGGGTATCTTCATTGGTATCTTCTGGGCCATCTTCAACCTGGGCGGCGTGATCGGCTCCTCGGTCTCGCTCGGCCAAAACTTCCACTCCACCGGGAACCAAGTCAGCAACGGCACGTATATCGGTTTCCTGGTCCTCACCGGTATCGGCACCCTCATCCCCATGCTCATGGCCAACCCACACAAGATGATCCGTAGCGACGGCAGCAAGGTGACTACGCCTCGCCATCCGTCGTGGAAGACCGAGATCTACGCGCTGTGGGTCGCCCTCCGCACTGATCCTTGGATCATCCTCCTGTTCCCCATGTTCTTCGCTAGTAATTGGTTCTACACCTGGCGTAATTACCATCCCATTCTTACTCCCCCGTGCAATGCTAAACTGTAGTCCCTCGTAGAATTCAACGACTATAACGGTGCCCTCTTCAACATCCGCGCTCGTTCCCTCAACAACCTTGTGTACTGGCTTTCGCAAATTATTGGATCACTCTCTATCGGCCTTCTTCTTGACAGACAGCTTATCAGTCGTCGCGTTCGCGCATTTGCTGGGTGGGCAATCCTCTTCGTCATGGTTTTTGTCGTCCACATTTGGGGATATTTCTACCAGAAGTATGTACCGCGTTTTTCTTTGCATTATGCAGCTCTGTGACGCTAATCTGCTGAAAGGGACTACACCCGTGCATCGGTGTTAGCCGAGGGCGACCACAAGATGGACATCTACGACGATGGCTATCCGGGTCGCATCTGGTTCTACATCTTCTGCGGCATCCTTGATGCTATGTGGCAAACAACGGCGTACTGGCTGATGGGCGCCATGTCCAACGACCCTGCCAAGTTGGCTCACTTCACTGGTTTCTGTGCGTCGGAGTTTGTTTAGTGCTTCCTTGGGTATGGGCGCTGATATCTAGCTGTCCGGCTTGACAGACAAGTCCCTCCAGAGCGCTGCCGCCGCCGGTGTCTGGAGAGCGGATGCTGTTGGCATTCCGTGAGTGGTCTGATCGGAACAGCCCATGAAGGCGAGCGCTCAATCAGTTTTGGTAGATATATGAACCTCTTCCTTTCGACCTGGATCCTCCTTGTAGCCGGTCTCATCTTCGCATTACCCATGATCCACATGCGTGTGAAGGAGCACACTGATCTCGAGGATGAAGTCCTGTGAGTCTTATTCCTGCGTATCGCGAGCGATTTTGCTGATGAAGCTTGTCAGTGCCCGAATGGACGAGACTGGTCGCATTCAACCTCTCGAGAGGGAGATCTGACCTTATTTATTCGCCGTCTTGACTTCACGCCCATTTATGCATCGTCTTCTTGTATACCACCGGGAGTTGCTTTGCTATGTTGTTGTGTTAGCATCTGTTTCAGTACACTATTAATACCATCTTGACTAGCTTTATTTATTGCGATCAGGTGATTACTGAACCTGCATCGTGCCCGCACAAAATGTAGGATTAGGGTATATATACCACGAAGACATCGAAAGCGATTTGATACCAAGAACGAAACATTACGTGCGTAACACCAGAAACTCTAGTGAATTAGAAGATGGTGGCCATCGCACCACTCTCGTCGTAGCCTCCCATAGCGTTCATGGCCTTGACGCCCGGTCCGTTCTTGCCAAACGTAAAACCAACCCATACGCCTCTGGTAGATGGCTCATCTTTCTCCTTGACCTTGTCGACATTCGCTTGTTTCTCTCGGACCTCGGCGTATTTGGCCATGTCTTCGGGCGAGGTAAAGTCGTCGTAGTAACCCGTGTCAATCTCCGAGTCCAGTGCGGGTACAAAGGGCGCTTGGACAGAACGCAGGTCTTTCCAATTAACCCCTTCGAAGAATGGATGGTCGGCCAGCTGAGATAGACTTGAGATACGGACACTGGAGTGTGCAATGAGCCTGGCGAAAGAGCGTTAGAATACAGGCTGAACAGAGCACGAGATTGGTACCTTGTGACCGCGTCCCATGCTACGTCCGTCAAGTTGAAGATGAGATCCTCAGGTTTATCATACTCGGGTCTCCTCAGGACCTTGGTCCAATTCTTCAAATTGGTCCAAGTCTCCTGAGGTGTCGCACCGCTGAACGGGGGGAAGCCGGCGAGGAACTCGAAGAATATGCAGCCCAAGGACCAATAGTCGACAGAGTACGAGTACGGCTTCCCGCGCAGGACTTCGGGCGCCATGTAATCCGGGGAGCCGACGATGGAGTCTGCGTAGCGAGGATCTTCGTGTCGGATGGATCTGTAGATGGAACGACGCTCGAGCGTGGACCTGTGCACTACCTCGTTGTCTTTTACTTGATCCAGCTAAACAGATGGTTATGAAGATGCTAATGAACAAGGATGGAATCATGGCACCTTGACTTTCAGGGATTCAATCCGTCTCGGGTTTAAAGCACCGGTAGCGAGCCCAAAGTCAGTCAGTTTGACATGGCCCGTCCCGTCCACGAGGAAGTTCTATCAGTTGTGTCAGATGTAGCAAGGCAAAAGTGAAACGACACGTACTTCTGGCTTGAGATCTCGATGAATGTAACCGAGCGTATGCAATTCATTGACAGCCACGAACATCTCACTAATATAGAACCGTGCATGTTCCTCCTTCAGGACCCCGGAATTGTTGAGAAGAGTGCGGAAGTCACCACCCGGAACGTATTCCATAGCGAGGTAGACGTAGGTTGGGTCTTGGAAGGCATACAACAAGCGAACGAGCCACGGTGTCTTCGTGGCCGTCAAGATATCGCGCTCGACGAGAACATGGCGAACCTATCGAGAGATCAGGAAATCATGGTAGAATCGAATAAAGAGGTGATCCATACTTCGTCCATTTTATGCAGTGTCCTCTTCCTCATCTTCTTGAGAGCGCACACCTCGCCTGTATCCTGCTTCCTCGCAAGGTACACTTCTCCATAGCCGCCCTGCCCCACTTGCGCGATGATATGGAACTGGTCGACCTTCAGCTTCGTACGCCGCTTCCGCAGCAAGACGCGTTCCCGCCCACAGTACGATTTGAACTCTTTATTATATTCCGAGGAGCTGAGATGACGCGACGCAGTATCAGCGTCAAACTTGGCCCTCCTATCTTTACGACCTGAGATGTAGCCTAGGAGCTGAAAGTAATAGTCGAGGAAATCTGTGTCGTACCAAGATCAGTACGTCGCAATCTGCAGTGGCTGTCGTACCAGGGGGAAACACGGACTTCGAGGAACTGCCGGACTTACATAGTTGTGCCACGGTCGACTTCCTCCGTACTTCTGGACTGTCCAATAATTCCCTCTCCCAAAGCTGGAAACCGGGTTGCTTCAAGGTCGTTCCGCCCCTCGCTGTCTCCATATGAATATCGTTCGCCATGGTCATACCCTTTGCGGTGTTCATATGTATATCTGCCGGAGACATGGTGTAGCCCTTTGCGGTGTTCATGTGTACATCGCGGTAGTACGGATGGTTGTTCTCCTTCTGATCAGGTAGCCCGGATATGTCTGGTCGTGGGCTGGATGCATGCGGTAGCTCCGGAAGAGTCTTCTTCACTGGCGACGACGGTCCCGGCGCAGGAGACGACGAGTGTTTAGCGCGGTTGGCCAGCATATCTGTCCAGGAGGCGTCGATGGGCGTGGATAACGAAGTAGATGGATGCACTTGGGGACACGAACACGGTATGGGCGCGATCACGTGCAGTTCGCGTGTTTATCTTGTCCTCATTTCGCCTCGGCCATCTTCAACTCTGACGACCTCGCGACATGGACCCTTCCCGCTTGAATCTTGCTGCTATCCTCGCATCCCAGAATCCATATATTGACCCCAAGATTGAGGCCTATGAAGCATCTACGCGTAACTTCCTGAAGGCCGTGTCAAGCTATGGGAACCGCGCGGTGACCGAGATCACCAATCGCAAGAATGCCTACGTTTCCGAGAAGAAGAGGATAGCGGACAAGACGCAGCAGATTGAGACTGAAATTACAGACTGTAAGAATAGGGAGATCGAGCTTTTGAAGCGTGAGTGAGTCGCTCTGCCTCGCCCAGCTCACCCTCATGTGGCACAGAGCTTGAAAAGGAACAGCAGGAGACGAAGGAGGCGGAATCATCCGTCTCCGCCCTTCGGAAGCAGCTTGCCGCGATCCGTCAGAAGTGCGCGTCTATAGACGTCGAGCTGGAACAGTATCGCGCTGTTACTGCGAACTTGCGAAGAGGTATCTTGAATCGACTTCCTGCTTCTGCAAGAGGTACTGACGTGCGACAGAAAAGGCGAAGGAACGTTCCATACTTGAGACGCACGCTGCCGGACTGCTTCCAGAGCTTCGCGCTTGCCAAGATAGGCTACAGTGCGTTGTTGAAGGTATTGACAGAGACCGCCTGTTGTTCCGCTTCGCGGCCATCGACAAGACGGCGCCAGATCGTGAATACAGTTTTGTACTGGACGTGTCCAGTAAAATTTACAAAGGCGAGCGACTATTTCTGATTCCTTCCCAGCGTATCCCTGATACGAGAAACACAGTCATCACGACGACTCCTTTGCTTCCAACTCTACCTATTCTGCTAGATGACCTGAACGAAACCCGGGACATATATGCATTCATAGCCAAGATGCGCCATGCATTCCGTGATATGTCAGAAACTATTCCAAGTGTCTGACCTATGGCTGTGGTTATTCACCGAAAATATCAGCTGTGTAATGTTTCATATCTTCCCAGCATATTATGCACCTCTGATATTGATTCACAAGATATCCCACCTATTTATGTATTCCAACCCATGTATTTATTAGTTATTTGTATTTTGCACTGACTGGCTTGATTCATGAATGGTCCTGCAGAGCTACATACACCACTGGATGGGCCAGTTGTCTAATCTCCACTTGGGGGGAGTGGGCCAATGCTGTGCATGGCTGGTTACGAGTCCTGAGCTGGGCATAAGATACTCCCTATTTTACACTGTATATCATAGAGCTGACACAAATATTCCTATCTTTCTTGAAGTATTATTTGAATTTCACTAGACCTCTCAGGATCATCTTGTATATTCCTTGATTTGCTATAGAGCTCTGAATATATTATGGATTTCCTGCATTTTTCACAAATTTTCTGGCCCTTCTACAGCCTGCACTCAATTCCAGATACCAATGATGTAATGGCTCTGCAGATCGGGTGAACCTGCAGAGAGCCTATGTCATAGAAGGCCTCAGCCACTGACTACAAGCCACTACAATAGTCAATTCCCACGATAAGCAATAAGAGTAAAACCGCCATGCGGACTAGGACAAGACACACAATCGATAAATTCACGAAACTATTGTTGTAGACCCGTATAGCATACACCCCAGACTAGAAAAAATAAAAGAGAGATAAGACAAAGAATTGAGCCCACAAATGAGCAAACAATGGTCCCAGAGACTACAAAAATGTGCCAAAAGTGGTTTTGTAGTCTCACATACAACCGGACTTCCCATCGGAGTTTCCAAAATGTAGTCTGCAATACAAAACATAACTCCCACGACTTCTCGGCACAACCGGTTCTCACGGGGTACAACGTTCGGCATGCAGGCATATTTTGCACGTAAGGACTCGACCTTCATACCTCAGGACTCGTAATCGCCTCCTTGCAGGGATGAGAATGTTAGCGGGTGCAGCAGCAGCTCGACAGACATTGGGCAGCCCCAAACTATTTTTTCCCGATAAGCCGACATACATGGCAGTGTACATATGTGGTCTTAGAAAAAAATACAGGGTGAGGTGGGAGGGTAATCATTTGAGTATGCCTAATGGCGACTGAGGTCGTCAGCTCCAAGCGCGACATGAGACCGAGCAGGGCGAGGTCGGGAGAGGGAGTCCTCTCTCGATGCTGCCCACCCATATAGTCTGCGCGATGTCTCAGACACTGAGTCGCAGCCCACGGGGCTGGTCAGCAGAGGCGCGTTGCCACAGAGTCTTGCCCTGAGTGTCAACTTGGAGATTATACTCATTTAAACGGAGCTTTAACCATGATTTTACAATGTCTATGGTGTGTGACACTTAGTCACCGCTACTTTGTAACAGTGGCCAATTTGGCTGCAAAAAAAATCTCAATTCTCGATTTTCCATCTTGCCTTCGGAGAGACTCGTATGGCATCAAGTAACACTAACGAAGCACATCTCCGCTAAAAGGGAGCCTTTGGGTGCAGTGATGGGCTGGTTAACGGTTAACCCCTTGACTTTTGCCTGGGGTTTAACCACTTGACCGGTTTAACCCCGGTTTGATGGTGTAAGACTTAGACGTAGCCTTGCTACGCGGTAAGTCCACGAGTTAGAAACTTAGGTTCCCACGGTTAAGAACTAGAACAACTCTGAATTCTTAAGGGGGGAAAGAAAATCTCTACCCTACGTACAAGCATTGCGAGTCCTTATATACCGTCTATCTAACAACCATGTGGTGTAATCGTGGGCGTTTATGCCACGATCTTATCGGTCGATCCGCGAAAGCAATCATCATAGAGCTTCGGGATCAAGGCCTCTGATTGGCCTGTTCCAATAGTGGTTCATTCTGTCTGCTCGCTCACCTTATAAGGCGGCGATTCTCTACTTGTACTTGGCTTTTCCCTTTTCCCCACTTCATACTAAATCATACGCTGCGTTCTATGTTTTGCTACATGTCTTAAGTCTCAACAACGTCTCCGGCTAGTGAGGCCTTCGCAGCCTTCCACTTTTTTTGAGCGTTCCTTCGCAGTAGGAACTACCAAAGGAACCGAGTCGTACGTTCCCCCCAGTCCCCCAGTCAAACTGTCGTCCCCCCCTAGTCTCCCCATGATCACTGCCCGTGTCTTGACTCGTTCAGAGATCTGCGCTCGTCTCGCACCCACGCAGTTGGACCATCAATCTGGCACCTCTGCCCCGTCATCGCTGTCATCAGTTCCCTCCGGACTTGGACCAGAAGACTTGTTCAATGACGCCCACAGACCGTCCCGTTCACCCTCGCCTCCACCACCACCCGTTCCATCACCCACACCAAGTACCCAAACCTCTGACTCCTCGAGCTCGGACGACGATATCCCGTTGGCAACAATGCTGAACAGTGAAACAGGTCTCGCGATGGTACAACAGGCGACGCCAAAGTCTCCTCCGACCCTAACGCCTGGTGACCTCACGCCCGTCATCCTATGCAAATGGTACAACATGTGCCGCGTCTATGCTATGCACAAGGAGCTCAATGCCGACAAGCAGGTCAGCCGCGTTGCCTGGGGTATGGAAGATGGCCGCCTGGCCAATTGGTACCAGTCAGACCAAGACCGCATCGACCGCCTCACCCTCGACGCATACATCACCGAAATGAAGAGCCTCTATCTCCGCGACGATTGGGAGGATGACCTGCGCGAAGAGATCCTCAAGTCAACCCAGAACGATGAGCTCTTCTGGAATTGGGTAAACCGTATCCAATCCACTAACTCTCTGCTCAAAGGAAGAACATCCCACCTGACCGATCAAAGTCTGAGGTTCCATTTCGAAGCGCGCATGAACACCGAGACCAAATGGTACTGCAAGAAGGACACCCGGGAGCTCAAGGCCCTTGCCTTCAAGCCCTGGATCAATGCAGTCCGCCTGCTCGACGAAGAACGCGCTCATGACAAACGGAACCAGACTGAGGCCATTGCGGACTCCATCTGCCAACAAGGTCAGCGACAACGCCCGCCCATCGTTACCTCCTCCACGTCGACAACTACATACACCTCTCGCCCAACGCCCTTTGCTGGCAACACGGCCAAGCTCCCTGGCCTCACAGATGCTGAGCGTGCCCTCCTCATGAAGTATAGTGGATGTTTCAACTGTCGGAAATTTGGTGTTAACCACAGGCAGGCGACGTGCACCGAACGACCGGACCCTATCAAGTACAAGCCTCTCACTGAGGCAGATGTGCCGGCCCACCTGAAATCGTCCACCACAGGCCCCTCGACCCGCGCACCTCGACTGGTTGCGGCCGTCAATACCGCTACCATCGAGGACGTCGATGACGATGGACCTACATGTCCGGTTGCCATAATAATGCCTACGTGCGTTCTAGGGGATGGATCTGATTCTGAGCCCGAGTGCGCACCTCTCTCTACCTCTCATTTTACCTTCTCTTCCCTTATCTCTGGGCCTGCCCACGAGTTTCCTGTTCCTATCTCTGGCCTGTTGGATAGCGGTGCACACATGGTACTGATATCAGACCATCTCGTACAGTGCCTGGGACTGATACCATCGCGCTTGAAGCATCCTATCCGTTGCACCCTCGCTATGTCTGAAGGACCTCCCGTGGAGTATGAGCTCGTGGACTCTATCAAACTGTCCCTGTCCTCTTCTGATAATGTTTGGCACTCCCGTTGTTTGGAAGCAGTTGTGGTTCCCAATTTGTGTTCTGATATCCTTCTCGGTGGACCATTCCTTTCTCACAACCACCTTGTTCTTGACCATGAAGACCGTACATGTATAGACAAGTCATGTGGTTATGACCTATTGAATTCTAGAGTTCGCATTACCCCTCCTCCTCCTCCTCGGGATTATAAGCTGATGCACAATGATGTCGTTGCAGAGCTGAAGGCTCAATCGCTTCCCCACCGAGCGGCAGTGGACGCATGTTGCGAACCCTTGAAGGAGTTTAATATGGTGGCTGCCGTTCGTGATCGGATCGAAAAGCTCGATGCTGCTAAAACTCTCAAGGAGTTAGACATTGACTACAAGCACTGCTACGCTGACTGTTTCCCAGATGATATCCCACACTTAGATAACCTGCCCTCGGACGTCTATCATTGTATCCGTCTCAAGGATCCCAACAAGGTCATTCGAATGCGGGAATATTCTTGCCCGAAGAAATACCGTGATGCTTGGCGCGTACTTCTCGAACAACATCTTGCTGCTGGCTGGATGCATCCATCGTCCTCGCCGTACTGCTCCCCGGTGTTCCTTGTCCCCAAGTCCGACCCGACCGCGCTGCCGCGTTGGGTGAACAACTACCGGGCACTGAATGCATATACAGTACCTGACCGCCACCCGCTCCCACGTGTGGACGATATCCTGTTGGATTGCGCGAAGGGTAAGATATTCGCAAAACTTGACATGACTAATTCGTTCTACCAAACACGAGTCCATCCCGACGACGTCCCGTATACGGCAGTCAGTACCCCCTTTGGACTCTACGAGTGGCTGTTCATGCCTCAGGGCAGTCGTAATGCCCCGGCCACCCACCAACGATGCATGTTCAATGCACTCCTTCAATACATTGGCAAGATTTGCCATGTCTACCTCGACGACATCGTCATCTGGTCGCAAACCATAGAGGAACATAAGGAGAATGTTCGACTAATTCTCGAAGCGCTGCGAGCAGCGAGTCTATTCTGTTCTCTGAAAAAGACTGAACTCTTCTCCACAGAAATCAAATTCCTGGGCCACATAGTATCTACCCGGGGTATTGAAGCTGACCCTAGCAAAGTCGACAAGATCCTTGCATGGCCAACACCCAAAACTTCAACTGATGTTCGGGCCTTCTTGGGCCTCGTACAATACATCTCAGTGTTCTTGCTGAAATTGGCCGAGCACACAGTAACACTAACGCCGCTGACGACCAAAGATGCCAACAAAGAGTGGCCGGGTTGGACTTCGACTCACCAAGGTGCCTTCGATGCAATCAAAACCTTGATTGTCAGCTGCAAGTGCCTCACAATGATCAACCACAACAATCTCGGCAACAACAAGATATTTGTGACGACCGATGCTAGCAAGTCCTGTATGGGTGCGATGTTGTCGT